AAAATTTTAAACATTTGGTGAATCTAAGCAGCTTGATCAAAGTTATCTTATACATTCAGAAAAGAAAAACAAAAGTGGGGGTCTATGATATAAGTTTTTAAATGTTACTAAAAAAGTGTTAATTTAATGCTAAAATTGCCTCAATTTTTTCCTGGACTTCTAGAATGTGTGTATTAATTATATTACACAATATAATAAACGAATTCATAAGAAATTATTAGAAACATATGTTTTTAAGACCCAGTTTAAAAATAATAGATAGGAAACACATACCTCTAAAACATCGGAGGTGGGATCACGTGCCATAGCTAGAGGAGTGAGCATCCCCTACCGACAGGTCACACCTACCGTATGCTCTTTATCATGATCGGGAAATAACGGAAAAGAAGAAGGTATGGTTTCCATACAAATTTTGCCCTGTGATTTTCTAAAAAAATGAAATGCTAATTATGCTAATTATGACGTCATAAACATGTACATTTTCCCGTATTTTCTTAAAAAGTTGCAGAAGATACCAATTTTCAATGGAATTTTCTTTCAGATAACATTGTCCACAGGCATCGCCCACAAAGATCTTGAGATATGTGATTTGTTATTGAATTTTGCAAAAAATATCAAAAAATTAACGTGGGCGACGTCTGAGGACACTGTTTTCTAAAGGAAAATCACCCTTGAAATGTGCCATTTTGAGGCTTTTTCTGTTGAAAATAGAGAAATGCTTCACATTAATGACGTCATATTAGCAGAATGGTAAACCTTCATGCCATATTCTTTCCTGATTTATGATAGTGATTTATTTAACTAATATTTAAGCCAGTTTCAAAACTTTTTTTATGTCATCACATTTTTAGGGCACAATAAAGCTAAAACCATACCTTCCTCTTCGTCGTCAATTCAGTTTGTAAATAATGGACTAACAGCTACTATGAAAAACGCCAGTCAACAATTGACTCCATGATAAAATGTATTAAGATAGGTCCGTACTTTCAAAATTTTCTGTCAAATTAATAATTTTTTAATTTGAATACCTTAGATAAGTCATAAACTAACTAAAACATCCAAAAAAGACATATCTTTGCAGGTGAATTATCATACAAGATATCTCAGAGTACATACCTCTATAACTTCAACATCCAAAATTGATCTTAAAGAAGTGAGATATCATATTTCATTTAGCTATGCACCAAATTACATTGAATTTATGTTTAAACTTATGAAAATCAAAAATATTCATTTGCCAAGAGAATATTTGAAATCTTTACTGGAAAACATTAACAAATTGATGTTGAATCTGCCCACGTCTTTCAAATAAAAATTTCAAAATTGCTTTATTTTTAATATTTCTCAAAATCGAAACTGTTTATGTGCCATTTTTTTCTTTAAATATATTAAGAATTATATCTAAGGTTAACAAAAACACATAGTTTATTATGTTCAACCAGATGAATTTAACAAAACAGCCTTTTGAACACGTATACCCCCATATTTTAAATATCAATTTTTCAATCATTTTTGTTAAAATTTTTTAAAAAGTTAAATTTTAAAAGACGATATAGGCTTTAAAATCAATCAAAATAGATCTCAAGTTAATTAAAAAATAAAAAGCATTAGGTCTATAAAGCAATTAAGAATTTTGTGTCTGTGTATTACTAAATGACATATAGTTCCTACGGACAGAGTGCAACGTGTTAAAATTTCCTTAAATAACGATGTTAAATGCTCAATTACATTAAAATAAACAAATACATACTTGCTAAATTATTTTCAATCATCCAAGAATAGATTTTTTCAACAGATAAGTGATAATCAGAATTTTATATTTGTGTGTAAAATTAAAATCGGATCCGTTAAAGTATGGACCTTCCTTAAGCTCATGGGATAAATCGTATCGACATAAAATGGAAATAACCGTTATTAATTAATTGGCAATACTTCGTCGATAGATCTAAATGTCGAGTTGAAGGTAACATTTAACAGTACTGTGTATACTGTGTATACTTCAAAATGGAAAAATTGATCATTTCCTTCTTAAAAACCTTCCGCCACAAAATAGAGTTCTTGACTTAATCCTATATTTGAATGCAATTTAATCGCAGTTTTTTTTTCATTAGATATACTCTAAATTGCATTATAAAATCCAAATTTAATGTAAGAACTTAAAAATGATGTAGATTTTTGGAAATAAAGGTTCAGATCAAAATCTGCTCAAATACTCAGGATCGCACCTCCTTAAGAAAGCCATACGTTATATGAACCTTCAGATTATTACGCATTCCAATAACGAGATCACACTAGAAATAACTTCATTATACTTTATGTAAAACTATAAATAATTTAGCATATTTTTGTTAAAATTCAATTTGTTTTTAAACCTCATCTCCGCGACTTTACTTTGTACCGAAAGTACATTTTTTTCTTATCGATATAAATATGCAAGTATTTATTATCCAAAACCCTGTGAATAGTGATTGAATGACTGATTGTTGTTTTATATCCTCTAAGACGTCACAATACACCTATGATAGTCTTCAAATTTTTACCTTTACTCGGCGTCCAGGGCTATCGAACAGAAAGGGTTCTTCATCTTTTCAACGTCCAGTTTGACACGGGGCCTCGGATTTTAAAGTCTCATTTAAGTGCATAATGAAAGAAAATTCATTTTTTTTGTTTCATGTTTACGTATTAAATTTAACGAAGCGCTTGGAACACAAATCGCACAAATTACTTTTCAATCGCGAAGCAATCATCCTTCCACCAGGCTTCCACAAAAGGCACTCGTTGTAGCAAAAACTATTATGAAAAATAACAAGAACGATTTTTGCTATAAAAAATAAAATTTTATAAATTATCAGGAATCAGGATATATATTGCATGAACTTGTAAACATTTATGGAATAATAAGAGTTCAATAAGCAATCGACACTCGCCCAACAATTATCTTCTTGCACTGGCACTATTTCAAATCCTGTGAAAATAAAAAATGCAAGTGAAGGATTGAAGTAAACAAAATATCATTTTTTTATCAAATGGATTTTTGAGATGAAATAGCGCAAAATGAATGTGAAGATTCTGCATATTAAATATTCATGTATTTATATTAATAAGATAGGGAATTTATCACTTATTCTTCTCTGCTATGAACAATCTGAAATAAGAAAATAAATTGTTAATTTCCTGTTAACTTAAATCATGGTTAACGTTATAAGTATTATGCATGTACAAATAAAAGAAATAATTAAACAATAACTTATTATTCAACATATAATTACATGCATGGAATTTCAGAAATAAACAAACAGTAGTTAACAAATAACACATAAATAAACATTCACACTCCCTTTCACTCATGTTTAGAAATTAAAAACATGATCAAATAAAATAATCACAAGTTAAAAAGAACAAAATAAAGTGATTAAAAGTTGAATTGCATACTTTGTAATTCTTTGTAATACTTGTCTTTTTTCCTTTATAGAATACTTAAGATAAAATACTTGTATAACTATTGCATTTATCACAGCATCATTACTGCATAAATCACAACAAAGAAAACATTTATACTTACTAATAATGGGACTGAAACGCAAATTAAAAAAGATTGATGAATGATATGTTAAGTTTATTCTGAAATGCGGGGGGGGGGGGTCTACGTCCAGTTCTGTTTTTCTTCGGAATACATAAGGCTTGTTTAAAATTTATCATAATGAGATTAACTTATTAGTAAACTTTGCACAATTGATGGAGAAGTAAAGAGAAATATAAAAACCGTTTGTATATGCTTACATGCAAGCCACTGTGTGATTGATAAATTCTTGACAACTATATCCTACATCACATGCTCCTTGTGAGTTTACAACAGCACATCCATCAGATGAGTTGGCTATAATAACTACAAAGAAACAGGAACATATTTACTGTAAATATAATCACGGCTAATTTTATGCAGTTGTGCTCATGTATTAGATAAATTTGATTAATAGGTGACTCAAGTAAATAACTTTTTATTAAGGAAAAACAGCATAAATATTTCCCATTGGAAAAAAATATAGATTGAAAACACTATAAAATTTATTACTCTTGCCGTATGTTGAGTGTTGTATTGAAGCAGTGGTAACGTTGACTATTTCTCCCGAGAAGTTGACAAATACCATACCATTCACAAGCTTGTACACGGTGTCAACGACGAGTACTTTTGATGTTGGACTGTCTGGTATGACGAGGTCAAAGTCAACAATTAAGCTTCCTTTCCTTTTAAATAAACAAATTATGTTTCATATTAAATATTAGGAATGTAAAGATAAAGAATCATAGCTGTTTTAAAGGGGCATTGACACAGTTTCAACTGATTTAAAAAAAGTAAAACAAAACATTTTAATGTTTACAATTCCTAACTACGAGGGACGATCAGAAAATTTTGCAAGTATATCTATAAAATAATGAAAACAATATATATCAAAATGTAATCTAGTCTAATCCTTCAAAGTAACCCCTTTTACATTCACACACTTTTGCAATCTGCATACCCATGATTTGAAAGCCCCGAGGTAGTCTTCCCTTGGAATACTGTTTAAGCACTGATAAACAGCACTACCAACTGCACTGCCCGAAGTATAGCGACGTCCAGACAACATTTGTTTCAGTCTAGGAAATAAGAAAAAGTCACAAGGACTTACGTCGGGAGAATACGGGGGATGTGGGAGCTGAACAACCTTTTCATACTTCAAAAAACATTGAACTGTTTTACTCTTATGAGCCGGAGCATTGTCATGAATGAGCTTTATATTATGTTCTTCAAATCTGTCTTTGGTCTTTTCTTTTCATATACTTTATTTTTTTCAGTACATTATTTTTGTAAAATTGTCCCGAGATACCTCTACCTTGTGCAGTTGAAATTTGCACAACTGGACCACTAGAATTAAAGAAAATAGCTTATAATATCTTTTTAGCACTCCGACACCTTTTTGCAATGACAAGACGCTCGCTATTCTTCCTTACCCACATCATCTTGTTATTTTTTCTTTGCGGCTCAAAAAAAGTAAATCCAAGTTTCATCACCTGTTAGCAAGTCAGAAAATTTTCTCCTGTCACAGTTTTTATAGATTTTTGACATTTCTAAAGCAAATTTCAAACGCGTTGTCTTTTGTTCTGGTGTCAAGAGATTCGGTATCCATCGTGCACATACCTTCATAGGTGGAAGTGCTTGGTCAAAATTTCATGTACCTTTGCTGATGAGATACCAACAACACTAGCAATATATTTTAGAGTATATCTACCAACTTCCTCTGCCATTTTCTTAACGACAGCCACTTTTCCATCAGTAACAACTGTCTTTGGTCGCCCTGTTCTCGAAGAATCTTTAACGACGTCAACGCCATTCTTAAACTTTTTCAACCAACGACAAACTGTGCTTAACGAAACTGCAGAATCTCCATAAATCTGACAAATTTCATTCAAAATTATTTTTGCAGGTATATCAAGAATGCCTCTCACTTTTATATAGGTTCTTATTTCAGCCTTAACTGCAGATTTCATATCACTTGGTGTAAATGGTCAGTGTGTACTATCCCTTCTTCTTTTGTATGTAACTTTTGAAATAGTGAATAAAACGATAAGAAATTTTAGACAGACACAGGTAATGAATGTATTATCGTTTTACAAACAGCGTGACAGTTTGGTTGATAGGGCGCTAAAATTTTGTATGCCAATTATCATTTTACTCCTCGATTAGACGATTGATTTCAATGGAATTAATGATACTTTGCAAATGAAACAGGGAACCCAACAATGCCACTGACAATGCTGACCAATCGTTTTGAATGACATGTTTACGAGTATACAGTTAACAACAATTACATGTGGACGGACAAAGCAAGTTTTACAACCTATAATGATAGCTATATTAGTATAACAGTAGCAGAGTAGTCTTGCTTACTAATTCCATTCTTTGAGTTTTCTTATACATGCACGTAGGCCTATACAATGCTATATAAAACCCCATGCGGTCAAATCACAACAAATATAATACACGCTTTTTTGAAGGACAGAAAGCGTTCTTAGACAGACCACGTGTTGCTGGTGAGTACAAATGCCGCATTGGTGAACGATCATTCAATGTGATTGTCCCGTATTATCAGGATATTGTTGTATTCTGAGTTTCATATGCAAATTATAATCCATTCCATTGAAATCAAACATCCAATCAATGAGTAAAATGATAATCAGCATACAAAATTTTAGCACGCCCTATCAAGCAAACTGTCACGCTATTTGTAAAACGATAATATCTACCCGACCGTGACATTGGTTTTGGTCATCTACGAAGAACATCTATGGAATAACATTACTTGCATTATATTCTGATCGCCCCTCGTAAGGCACCACCTAATGATTAGCAAAAATTTGAACATCATTTGTTGATTAACAAACGAGATACAGAACTTAAAGTTCTTCATAATGTAAACAAGGCTTGTGCCATGCTTTTATTTACATATAAAAATATCATATTTATAACAAAATGAAATTCAATAAATCAATAAGAACTGTTGAATCGTATTTAAAATTAACTTTTTTATTGAAATTATCTACTTTGAACGAACATATATTAGTATATGAACCTGTGTAAACAAAACAATGGCACAGACCTTGTTTACATAAAAAAGATTTGGAGCTCTAAATCTGTCTTGTATTTCGACAACTGATGTTCAATTTTTTATGATCATTAGAGAGACTCTAGTGAAATGTTTGTAAAAATGGAAAAACAAATTTTGAAATTTTAACTGAAACTGTGTCCATGCCACTTTAATGTCAATACAATTATTTAGCTACTCAATTTGAACATATGTCAGCGATATAAATCTTTGTAGTGATAAAAAAATCCCTCTTAACAGAATTGTGTTAATTTAAAAACATGCAGATGAAGGACATATTTAAAAACAATTTATATCAGTTTAAACATCCTTAATCTACTTTTATTCTTATGCACAAAAATGTAACATGTTATCTGAAAGATCTCGTATTGGTCAACATAATTTGATTATTTTGATAATATTTCCATTGTCATTTTACGCATAGCATTGACTGTTTCACTTCACATGCATATCATTAATCTTTGATGAAATAAACAATTTATTTACATACAAGACGACCCAATAACTAAGGGCCTTTTAACTTTTATCCAAAGTTATCCATTTGGATACTTGAAGAGGAAGTAAAAATTATCCATTTCATTTATATGAATTAAAAAAAAAAATCACTCTTTTTCTTAAGATTTTTCGATACATTCCTTCAATTAATTTGTTTTTGACGTACTGTATTTTAACAAGTTTGAATACTGAAATGTTAATATCACAACTTTGAGAAAATAATTTTGTTTCTAATATACTTTTTGAAATCAGTAAAAAACCTGCAAGCCAAAAAAAAAGAAAATAAATATTTTTGATATAAAATGGAGGGATGGAGAAATTGATATTCGAGGATATTCGAGGAAATATGCCGCAGACTTTCAAAGTAATAATAAATAATTAAACCCTTGGGGTAAATATTACCTTTTCTTTCATATATACATCTGTATTTAAAAAGTAATAACATGCTACTTTATAAACATACCTGAAGCTTTTTATTACGACTTTTGATCCAACGATTCGTTTACTGTAAACATCAGTTAACTAAAAAGTAAAATCAGATGAATGTTTGTTATAAATGATCATGTAAAGTTGATATTTAATTCAAAAGAGATATAAATACTTACCGCTACTTGAACTTTATTCTTTACTTTGATATAATCCTCTTCTATGCTCAGATTTTCTGTTGTTGTTACGTCGAGATTCAAGACAAGCGTATATTTCATTAAATTCGATTCTTCAAACAAAATACGTAAAATGGTCACAAAAATCCCCAAAAGAGAAACATATTTTAAAGGTGTCATTCAAAAACAAATCTGAGGTGCAAGTGATGATGATAATACTCAAATACATTTCATTCGACTGATAAGAATAGAAAAATATATCAATTTTAATTTGAATTCTTAAAATTTTTAAAAGTAAAAAACCATGCCACTCCACCTACTTGTAGAGCAATCTGTACCATTAAACTCGACATCACACTGACATTCGTACTCATTGATCAAGTCAACACAGGTTCCATTGTTCTGACAAGGCAATGAAGTGCACTCATCCACATCTACACAGTTAAAGTATAAGAATTTTCCCGTGAATCCCTAATCTGAGTATTGGCAAGATAAATTTCTTTGCACAATATTATAATTTATAGGGAAATATGAAAAGATTTTTTTTTTGCATTTTTGAGTAAAATATAACTCTTTATTTTAATAATCTTACTATTTGTACAATTAGTGTCATCGAATCCCGCAGCACAGTTACACTGGTAATCATTGATGAGATCAAGGCATGTCCCATTGTTCTGACATGGATTTTCAGCACATTCATCAGTATCTGTAATAATTTGTTCTATTGAATATCCCTCTCTCTTAAAGAAAGGATATTACATGTTCTGTTGCTGATACGTTCGAACAACAAAAATATCACTTTATTATATTATCAAAAAGTTTTTTTATTAAACGAAATATTGACAGTGTGTGTTGTGGTTTCTAAAATGTCATCAATAGGTTCATTTGTCTGAATTTTTTAAATTTACTTACTCTTCTCGCAGTTTGGTCCATTAAATCCTGCCTCACAACTGCAGTTGTAATCATTGATGAGGTCCACACATGTTCCATTGTTTTGACACGGATTTTCTGCACATTCATCTATATCTATTACAAATAAAATTGATATGATATGATTTAGAGATAAAGAATAATCAATGGTTTGCAATATTGAATCGAATCAGTCATTTAATTCACTACTGGTAAATGATTTCTCAAACTTTCACTTGATGGTTTGCAATTAATTTATTTCACCACTGGCATGACTGGTAAAAGGTTTCTAAAATGTTCACTAGACTTTTGAAATGAATGTGTGTAGTATAAAAGCCTGGAAGAAATTGATTATACAACTGAAAAAGATTTCTCCTATGGAGCTTATGGAGATAACGAACAGTATTGAAGATCAAAAGCCCGTAAAAGAATACAAAATAGGAGCAATGCAAACACGGACCATCAAAACATCAGATTTGGTATCAGGTTATGATGTTGATAAAGAAAAATAAAATCTCAAGTAATGACTAAGTGAGAGCAGTTTTGTAAAGAATATTGTCAGGAGATATTAAGGAATAGAGGGATAATTCAGGGGACGTCAGAAAGTGGTGAAGTTTAACAGGGGTTAAGTCAAGGTACGTCAAGGGGTAGAATACTTTCAAAATATCTTTGTCTGTGATGGAATACATAGACTGATGTGGGACGTCAGACTTGAGTAATTGTCAGATAAGGATTAAAATATATCTTGAATGACCTTTAAAAGATATCTTAAAGTTAATATATATCTTCCAGATAAAGTCAACATTTCCAGGAAAAAAGCATGGTTCGTTTTATATACTCACTGTTTGTACAATTCGTGTCATTGAATCCTGCAACACAGTTACATTGGTAATCATTGATAAGATCAAGGCATGTTCCATTGTTCTGACATGGATTTTCAGCACATTCATTAATATCTGTAACAAATGCTCTATGTTAAGCATAACTGATTTTAAACTAGTCTAATTCACCGTCAATTCATATCATTTTCATTGGCTTACCTTCCTCGCAATTGGTTCCATTAAATCCAGGAGCACAGCTACACTCATAAGCATTGATGCGGTCCGCACATGTTCCATTGTTCTGACAAGGACTATCAGCACATTCATCAATATCTGTAAAAACGTCTTTCATGTAATCTCAACTTTCACTTATACAAAGGATATCAAATGTTCTTAAGCATGGACATTCCCAAGTGAAATAAATCAACTTAAAAATGTTTCTTATTAAATGAACAAACTGCACAATTGTGATATCTAAAATGTGATCCATAGTTTCATTTGTCTTAATATCATTAATTTACTTACTCTCCTCACAGTCTGTTCCATTAAATCCTGCCCCACAACTGCAGTTGTAATCATTGATGAGGTCGACACACGTTCCATTGTTTTGACAAGGATTTTCTGCACATTCATCTATATCTGTTACAAATAAAATGCATGTAACGGTTGATTTTGCGCATATTAAAAGAACGCGAAACGCGCACCATACCGACAGTCTATTTATAGAGTTTCTGTCCTTGCGCCAGGTATTTAATTTTATTTAGAGATTATATTATTAAAAACTTTATAAAAATTCTATTTGAATATTAAACTAGTTGTTTTCTATTTTTAATTAATTTTCAGTGCAGTGATTTGAATTTATAAAATTATTATTTTGTTTGAGTAAATCTCTAAGATTTAAACTGGTTCGTCAAGTTATTTATATATATTCACTGTGCTGACGCCCCTGTGTTGAATGGAACGTGTTCGAGTTTGAGAGTGATGCGTGTTACGGTAAGAATGGTGTTAATCTTGTGTTTTATTTAACTTGAATTACTCTGAATATTATATCTTTTTATCGTTAATATAATAAATACCGGTATATTGTTTATTTCAATGTAGAGACCACACACGTAGTGTAAAAATTTCATGTATGAGTGACCGGGTGTGGCATCGCCATATTTTGGTGGTATGTGTTCGCTTGAATTTAACTTGATATGCTGATTAATTATTTTATGTTTTGTTTGTGTGTTCTATTGGTAATGTGTGTATATATTTTTGTTTGTTTGTAGCTCATTGCCAATTTGAAAATTTAATTAAAATAAAAGAACCGTAAAAAAAAGAACTTGACTTTACTCGTTACATGCATAAGATATGACTTAGAGATAGAGACCATTCAATGGTTTGCAATTGAATCGAATCAGTCATTGAATTATTTACTGGTAAAGGATTTCTTAAACTTTCACCTGATGGTTTGAAATTGGATTGGTAATTTATTTCACTACTGGTAAAGAGTTCTCAAAAACTTTCAGAAGACATTGAAAAAGAAGGTGTTTGGTTTGCAAGTAGAGAAGAAATTGATTGTACGACTGTCAAGAAAAAATCTTGAGTAATAACTGAGTGAGAGTAGAATCGTAAGGGGTTATATCAAGGGGTGGAATTAGCTGTCGGGAAGAATGAACAGGGAAATGTTCGGAGAGAGTCTGGATGACACAGGAGAATTTCAGAAACTGGAACCTCAGTTTTTTTAATCTAAGGAGAAAACCTCTCAGGATTTAAAGTAGAAAAACATTATCACTTTGAAGAGTGCGAGGTACTGAAGTGACAAAAGATTCTGCCACACGAATAAAGTGAATCAAGGATTAATATAGAACATGAAAGATCTCTAAAATATCTTCCAGAAAAAGTCAATCTTTCCCTTGAAAATCATGAATCTTCTATCCTTTTACACTTACTGCTTGTACAATTCGTGTCATTGAATCCTGCAACACAGTTACATTGGTAATCATTGATGAGATCAAGGCATGTCCCATTGTTCTGACATGGATTTTCAGCACATTCATCAATATCTGTAATAGATGCTCTATGTTAAGCATAACTGAATTTTATTTTAGCTATTCATCGTCATTTCCTATCATTTTCTTTGATTTACCCTCCTCGCAATTGGTTCCATTCAATCCAGGAGCACAGCTACACTCATAACCATTGATGAGGTCCGCACATGTTCCATTGTTCTGACAAGGACTATCGGCACATTCATCAATATCTGTAAAACTTATTCTATATAATCGCAACTTTCAATTAAAGAAAGGATATCAAATGTTCTGAATCACAGACATCAAGTGAAATATGCCAATTGAAGAATATTTCGTATTGAATGAACAATTAACAGTTCATAGACATCAGGTAACACCAGACACTTTATGTGGCGATATGTCCCCCTTTTTAAGGAATTATATTCATTTAATATTTTAAAACCCTCTTTCTAGGCTTCATAAATTATGCTATGTGTCATTTTAATTATTTGACGGACTCGATTACGTAAATCAAGTTATACAATGGGTATGCATTGCTTCCGCGACATCTGCAGCACGTATTTTTTGGCGTGATATTTTAACAAATATAAGTACATGTGTTTGTTTCCATTATACAAACAGACTTCATGTTAAGGAGGTTCGATCCTGTGCTTTTATGCAGATTTTGGTCAGGACCTCTATTTCTAAAATTCTGTAGTATTTTAAAGTTCTATAACATTAAATCTGGATTCTACAATGCAAATCAAACTTTATCTAATGCAAAACCCGTGATTTTTTCCCCATCAAAATCGGATTAAGCAAGGAACTATTTTTTGTGGACGAAGTGTTTTTTAGAAGATTTTTTTTGAAAATTAAACAGTACTGTTAAATTTACCGGTAGATTCCTATTTTTCCTTGATTGATTGGACACAGAGCTGTTTTTCCCAGTGAAAGTTTTATGCTGGTTCTGAAATATCTATTTAATGATTTCTAATGAATTCTTTCATATCATGACAAATATAGTTGATATATTCTGAAAGCCCAGGTAAAATCGACCCAACTTTAAAGCTGACATGAACTCTTAAAAAGGCATCAGTTTTCATCTTCGTACGACTTACTACATTCCTGTACGCCCTTGTCCGACATATTTGTTCGATTCCGCCATAATTAATCAAAGATTTTTGGCCACCTGTACCGGCTATATATAGCCTTGCAGAATTGTATCACTTGAGTGATTTTCTAGCTTGGCTGTGGACATGTACACATCTCCGATAACATAGTTTTTAGAAGTCCATAAACTGACCCAATACATGTTTGAAAAGAAAGAATTCAACAAAAAATAGAACTATACCGAGAATTAAATTAGTTTTGAATGCATTTGCTGCAATATAGAAAATACACTAACACGGAATACATTCACGTACAGGAAAAACCCATGCAGGTCGAGAAAACGCTTCAAACGCAGTGATAAAACATTTACCTGAATATACTGCTATCGTTACAGGGATGTGCACATGTCGAAAGAATTATCCCATGTTACTTTTATTGAAAAATGTATCTCAGAAGTCATGTAATCCAGTGCTAACTCAAAAGTAAAAGATGCTGGCACACACGTGGCCCATGCCGATCATTTTATTTTGGTCATGGAAAATATCAAAGGTTGAAAGCTCAGTGGGGTTGATTGAAAAAATGCAAGTAATTTTTTCAAAAATAAACATTACTCTTGTCTGTAAATGTTGTAAATAAAATTTATGATTACATGGTATAACTTCATTAAATTTATAATAAAGCATGCATATTACGAATCATTCACCTTTTGAAGATATTTTCCTGTGATAGGAGGGGGGGGGGATAAATCATGCATATTTACATTCTCATAAAAATAATTTGATAAAAAAGTCTGAAACAGATTGGATTTATTCATGATTAATTACCGGTATTATCAAATATTATTATTAGACCGAATATAATTTTATTTAAAGTGATTTATAATTTTATGCACACTGCCGGGTAGCTGCAGATCTGTAGCGTTATGGTTTTATATATTTGTCTTTGAAAATAACGCTACAGATCCTGTAAAGCAAAAAATGTGCAATTTACGGCGCAATAATTATTTTTTGCGCGTTTTTGGAGAGAATTTCTCCACTTTCAAGCATTGGTCAATCAACTACCTTTCACTCCCTAATTCTAGACACATTCTGTAGCCAACCATTTATAGTTGTCTCTACAGGTAATAGAGTCGCTAGAAGTGAATTTTCAGCAATATAACAAATAATTTTAATCAAGCGAGTTTATCACTTGTAGAGACGAATACAAAGGTAAAAACTTTCACAGATTCCTTAGGTTTATTACATATTACCATTGTGCACCTCCTATTTTACTTCTTGATCCGACACGTATTTTGGGTTTAGCGACAACAGCAAAATATGGACTTTGCCATTATAACCAAATGGGAAGGCAGGGTATCATTTAGTGAGCTCATTGCTCACAAAACCTCTAGTTTCTCTTTCAATTTGGGCGTTTGGGTTAACTTCTTGTCCAAATTAGAGTTATTATTGAATTTATGAAGTTTCGACATCCCGCCTGAAAAAAATCCTTGATCTGTCCTAAGGCTAAATAAATGGTACAGCACAAAATTCGAAGGATCTTATACCTATTATTGCCCTAACGGATGGTTACAGAGAGAGAGAGAGAGAGAGAGAGAGAGAGAGAGAGAGAGAGAGAGAGAGAGAGAGAGAGAGAGAGAGAGAGAGAGAGAGAGAGAGTTTGTTCAATATACAAGAGTAAATAAAAATTATCCGTATTCAACCAGTATCAAGTATCCCTACCCTATCTTATCTCCCAAATACTCCTACAGAAATTATTTTTATACAAAAAATAGCTAGACTATCAGGCAGGGATACTGAAATCTCGAAAGACTCTCTATATCAACATAATTATAAAACAGTTACATTCCTCAAAATGCACATACTTTGTTGTCGGAGTGACACATTTTTAAAAAATCTCAAAAACGAATTCGATAGAGATGTCTGTCTTCCAAGAATATTTAAATAACGGTCATGTCAATTATTTTTGTATGCCCCCCTCCCCCCCGCCTAAAAAAAAATCAAATGCCTAAATGTCAATCTGAACAGGGGCTGACCTTTCTCCGTGTGTTTGTGTGTTAAAGAACGTATACATGTACACATAAAAAATAGTATTCTGGTTAATTGCTTTTAAGATTTGAAATAGATAATTACCGTACATCAAATTACTTGGTTTAGATTTGAGATTTGTACTAAAATAATAAGTTATAATTGACAAATGAATTTTGCGACGCAAACCAACTGCAGACTATATACATGACTTTGTATAGAATCTATATTAGAACTACATGTAGATAGACAATTCACAATTATAGCTTATGAACAGCAGTTATAATACCCCCCCTCCCTTTCAGCCGCGCAAATACCAAATAACTTCTCTTTCCACTTGTGATATTTTCCCTGACCAAAACTGATCAGCACGGACTAAGTGTATCGACGTGCTAGTCTGTACGGAGTAATGACAGTGTGTTTACTATTGAGCTTTTACGGAGTTTATGTAATAGTAAGATCATATGAAGAGAAATCTTCGTCATGAAGAATGGGCGGAGCGAAGCGGAGCCCATTCTTCATGTCGAAGATTTCTCTTCGTATGATCTTACTGACTTAGAACAGAACCTCAGCCAATCAAATGAATGGATTAAAAATAAACTCCTCCCACGGCTGTGTCATATAAAAGGCTCAACTTGACCGCTTGTTGTACATATCGAGCACGCAATCAATATCGAACACACGCGGTTTTAGAATGGACTCCCAACCATTCAGGTCAGCACGGGATTATATGAAATATTTTGATTTACTAGGAAAATGGTATGCACCTGAAGATATTAAAGTTACTGGACTAATGAATACCCATGTAACAAGAATTGTAAAATCTATATTTTTGAAAAATTCACCGATACTGTGTTGTCTTTGAACATTTTTCCTGGGGGTAAATGCCTCGCACCATAAAGTGAAAATTAGATAAATAAGCACTTTATTAACTCCTTTATACAATATATTTTTCTCAATGTCTAACAAAAATTTTGCACTGGTGTAGAGAGGGTCCTTAAGATGACAAGGCCCTAGTCAGCAGGAGTGGGTATCGCTGTCTAATATCAATTAAATTAAAAATTGATAAATTGTGATTAAATCTGTCTTCAAAGACAAGGTTCGTCTCGGATATACATGACGATGGTTGTATTTTCTGTATGTACCAAAATGTGAAAAAAAAATAATATTCAAAAAGGAGACAAAAGATTGCAGTGGAAAAAAGTGTAGCAAGGACTAGAAAGTTTAAATATCATTGTAAACAGCACGTGGGTGTTGAATAGTTTCTTTTTGTGTGCTGAACAAAAACCAATGAAGACACACCCAAATAACTGTCAAGTGAACCAATCAGACACCGTTGAATTTTTCAGAAATAGAAGAATTCTTCACCATGAGGAATCCATTCTTCGCGAGAAATGGTAGCATTTGATTGGCTGAATAAGTAGGTTATGTTCTAATTCTTTTTTTTTGATGCATATTTCAATAAATGGAATTCAGGGTGTATATCACTTGACTTGTGCACATCTTCGAACCGATGCAGTAACCTTATTACCAGGTATGGGTACGTTTACAGCGTTCGAGGCGTTTTCTCGATATACATCAATTGCATAGGAGCTGCAAATCAAAGACGTTGGTTGTTTTGTTCCATTTAAATGATATAATTTCAAAATGTGTTTGCAGATTTTACTGCTATTTATTTCAAGTTTATATTCTGCATAAATTGGCGCACTGTAAAAATACGTACTCGTGCATCTAAATTTCTCTTCCAAACTTGCATTTTTTTCTTTTGATTCAAATCAATAATTATTTCATAAATATGATTATTATGTTGTTTTTTGTAGTTTTGAAATGTCTTGATCACCTCATGTGTTCTCATATGCTTTACCATCGGAGATGTGCACAAGTCGATACCCAAACCGAAAAATCATTCAAGTGTAACGAGCGCATTCGGGTATATATCGTTACAATGAGACAATGTATCTGAAAGAAATATGGGTATGGGTATGGGTACGTTTACAGCGTTCGAGGCGTTTTCTCGATATACATCAATTGCATAGGAGCTGCAAATCAAAGACGTTGGTTGTTTTGTTCCATTTAAATGATATAATTTCAAAATGTGTTTGCAGATTTTACTGCTATTTATTTCAAGTTTATATTCTGCATAAATTGGCGCACTGTAAAAATACGTACTCGTGCATCTAAATTTCTCTTCCAAACTTGCATTTTTTTCTTTTGATTCAAATCAATAATTATTCAGAAATATGATTATTATGTTGTTTTTTGTAGTTTTGAAATGTCTTGATCACCTCATGTGTTCTCATATGCTTTACCATCGGAGATGTGCACAAGTCGATACCCAAACCGAAAAATCATTCAAGTGTAACGAGCGCATTCGGGTATATATCGTTACAATGAGACAATGTATCTGAAAGAAATATGGCGGAATACGGGTATAGTTGGTATGAAACAAGTCGTACATAGATGAAAACGTTGCGTTTTTGAGAATTCATGTCAGCTTTAATATAAAATTAACACATTATTAGTAATATCTAAAAATTTACATCACATACCCTTTTTTGTTTTTCTCTTCTGAATATATAAAATAACTTTGATCAATCAAAAGTTTAAGACTTAAAAAAAAATATTTCTTGCTTGTTAAATTTTCAGTGCAAGAAAAATCATATTTTATGAGTGCAGAAAGGTCAAATAATTGATTATGTTAAGTAATTTGAAACTTTGTCTTACCGGTAATCAAAATTTTGAATTTTTTTTTAAATAGACTTAAAATATATGTGTCCTATAGAGTATTTGGATAAAATAACATTGAAGGAATTTCGAATACGTCAAAGGTGTAATTCTTAATTAATACACAAAAGTAAAGGCAAAAAAGTAATATTAAATGTTCTGAGGTGCCAAAATAAGCATACCGAACCTCTTTTTAAATTTTTTTTAATTGAACTATATGTGTAGAAACTAAAATTATACTTAATAATTTAAGACTTTAAATATTAGGATACAATCTCCTGGTTGCAGGGAAACCATATGGAATAATTGCAAGTCCATGGAAAAATAATTATCATAATTTATTCTCAATTTTCTTTACAATAGAGGTGATTTAAGATTATACGTTAAATGCTTTAAATTTTATCAATTTTTCACACTTTCGAAAGACTATTAAAATAGGATTTTGTTTTATACGATATGCCTACCCATACACGAACATATAAGTCAATATATTATGATCTACCTGTAATATTCACCGTTATACATCGGGATCCAGTGGAGCGTCTGCAAGTGTAAATATAATTTTTGAAATATTTTATTACACTGTGTTCAGAAGTAATATTATATTTGTAACAAATTTAAAAAAAATTCAATTTATATAATTAAAAAATTCTATCGTAACTCTATATATATGTATGGTTTTCCAACACAAATTATATATTTTGTAAAGAAATAAATTAGTTTACCTATAGTTTGATTCTGCTGAAAAACACACGACATGTATTCCTATTTCCTCAGCTAGTATATCAGTCTTTGAAATAGTTGTCTCATATTCGTACAGCACGGGATAGGAGATGGCAGATATTGTAAAATCAAGTGGTGACAAAATATGAAATCTAGATATACTGTAAAAGAATAAAGTCATATTACACCCACACATTGTGTTCTGTCAAATCATATTCACTTCCAAAATTCGAATCAGAAAAATTGAATAATAGCAAATAAATTCAATAAAAACAAATGATTACAGTGGAATATTAAGATGCTAAACTTAAAAAAAAAAAAAAAAAACAAAAACAAAAACAAAAAAACAGTGAAAAGGCTTCTTGGGTTCTGGAATTTGTTTCTAACTAAGGAAATGAAGCAATTTACATTATTAAATTTCCAAGAAAATACGTATTTATTTTATACCTTTCAGGTGAAAAAGATATCCTAGCTCTTGCTTTAAACTGTAATGAGCCATTGTGAACTTGTATGACAGTTCCCTCTGTAGGTGTAGGGGAGATAAAATTTGGTGAATAATAACAGGCACCATCAGAAGTTACTGTTATAATGAATTGTAAAGGAATGCTACTCAGGGGAGTAGTTGAAGTAGAGTTTTGAAAATCTTCTATTTGTATCGCCATGGCATAAATTCCATCTGATGCCCAGTCAACTATATATAATTCACACAGTGTCTACAAGTAAGAGAACTGAAATGTGAAAATCTAACTCTGACAAGTTTAAGAAAATAAATTGGGAGAACATGTTAATTTTAAAGTAAATAAGAATAGATCTAGCTACTGTAGTAGATATGACCTAATGAAAAGCACTAAACAGACATTTATGCTCATATAAGTCAGAGAGTGATATTTGTTTTTAATAATAGTTAACCATGTATCTGTAAGCTTGCAGTATAAATGTTCTCTGTGATGATATTTAAGAAAAAAAACTTACTTCAAAAATCCCGGCAAGAATGCTTGTTTTGTTACAAATATCTCCACACTCTTCTGTTGTTGCGGGGAGACGACACCGAACGTTGTCTCCGTCGTAATCCGCCACTTTGAATGTAAAAATGGCATTTCTTCATAAAATAAACAGGTACATGCAAATCACTTTTGATGTTTAATACTTAAATCTACAATTCTATTACAATTTTTACTTTTGATCCCTAATTGTGACTTCTTTAATTTTACGTTACGCTTTTACATATCTTAAATAGTTATTTACTAGTATTCTGACCAAGCGGTTCTGGAGAGGAAGATTCTTTTCAATGGTTTTCTCTTAGATTATTCGTATTATCTGTTCTTGAAAAGAAATGGTCTTTCGTTTGATAAAAGGAGTCTTCTCAGTATATAGGTGCTTTATTTAAAGTGAAGTGAATAGCAAATTTATCCGAATATTTCCAAAGATGTAGAACATATGTATTTTAAATCTAACAAAAAGTTTTCTTTCGAATAAAAAATCATAAAGACACGTGTATTTTCTTTAAAAATGAACAAAAAAATTCAAAGAAGTGTGGTCCCACGCTTTCGGAGTCTTAGTGGATGGGATTTTACCACTAGTATTTATGGCATATTGTGTCAAATATGAATGCCCTATCAAATATCACCAACGGTAACATTTTTGAAAATTAACTAAATATGAAAATCAAGGTCAATAGGTAAAAAATCATAGCATCCCCAGAAACATCTTGTTACAGGTAATGCACATATCAAATATGTGCACATATCAAATATGAAAACCCTTTGAAGTTAACTTTAAGATCAAGTTCACAGGGTAGTAAATTTAGGAAGGCATTGTCACAGGTAACATACATACGTAATTTAAAAACCTTATCTTTTCCTTTTTTAAAGTTTCGAAAAAATTCAATTAATGTTATTTTTTTTTAGAAAAGTAAATCAAACCTCAAGGTCAAAGTTACGCGGTCTGAAATAAAAATACATTTGAAAAGATCTTCTCACAGGTAATGCACATGTAAAACATGAAAACTCTATTTCTTCTCCTTCAAAAGTTATGACCAATGTTATTTTTTTGTGTCAGACAGACAGACTGTGAGACGAATGAGATTCAATGTCCCCTCGCTTTCGCAAAAGCGGGCGGGTGGGGGAGGGAGTTATAAAGAAGATGATCGCATTATCCATGATTTTTACGTTTTATAAAAACTAATAAAAAGTACGAGTCGTATGTATTTTGATTTTGACTTAAGTGAGGCAGAACCGTTAAAAGTAAAAATGGTGGAAGTGAAGTAAATTCAAACCTGGTATTATTATTTGCTCGCCATTGCACGAATTACCAACAATGATTGATGAGGCCATTGCTGAAACAGGAGACTGGTTGATTCTTCCGTTGTCGGTTCTTGTGGAGACGTCTACTGTCATTCGTAAGCTCCATGAGTTTGCAGAATATGCTAATAAAATCCAAGCAAAACCCGAATATCTGCGAAAATGTCAAAAACTAGCCATTAAAATAATTTCTTGAAACGTACAGAAAATTGGATTTCACCAAAAATAAGATCAATGGCAAATATATGACAAAATAACAATGGTATAAACAACACGTGGAAATACCTGTTACAAAATGTATGTACAATGAATTGTTCCTAAACCTAATTCAAAGAATCCTCGGATGTCATCTACCGTTAATTAAAGTAATCAAATCTACTGGAAACATACGGGCTTATAATTAAAGTTCCACCTGTGACGTTTTTAAAGATCCGTCTTAACTCTGCTCCAAATGTGTATTAATTTATTTCAATACATATTTGAGCTTGAGTGCAGTTTATTATCTCCATATATTATTTTTCTTCCAGAATGCATGTACATGTAACAAGCAATCTTTGAACATATTCCCGAAGATCGGTAAGAAAAACAAGAGGCATATGGACCACATCGCTCACCTGAGCAGTGTGGCTAGGAAAAGAGCAGAAATCAATGCATTTTTAGAAAGCTTAAAATACATGTGGTCCCGACCTACTCCTAAAAGGTGGAAGGGGGTGGAAAGGGGTGGTAGGGTTATGATTTGAATTAACTTGAATCTACATTTACTTAGGATGCTTGTCTTTGGCCTTCTGTGGATTTTTCCTCTATACGTTTGAACTTATATCTTGGCCTCACCTTACCCCTGGGGGTCATGATTTGAACAAACTTGAATCTACACTACCGAAGGATACTTTCATATAAATATGACTAAGCATGGCTTTGTTGTTCTTGAGAAGATTTTTAAAGATTTTTCGTATACATTCCTATGTTAAACTTTGTTCGTCCATTGTGACCCCACCCTATCCCAAGGATCGTGATTTGAACAAATTTGAATCTTCTCTACCTGAGAATGCTTCCACATTAGTTTCAACTTTTACCACCCAGTGGTTCTTAAGAAGAAGATTTTTCAAACACGCCACCAAATTTTAACTTTTTTTTAAATTATCCCCTCTTGAAGGAGGATGGGCCCTTCATTTGAACTAACTTGAATCCCCTTCACCCGAGGATGCTATTTGGCATCGGACTACAGACAAAATATAATCAGAAAACCTTGTTTGAGCTTTCAGCTCAGGTGAGCTCAAACGGAAAATCACGATTTATCTTAACATCCTTTGGAAAAATAGTTTCAACCAGGTAAAACATGTTTACGACTGTACTTGTCAGGACAAAGTTGAATTAACTTATCTCGATAATTGTTGCCATCCTAACCCCAAATCCCAATTAATGAAGTAACGGCATTTTTTGAATATAATTTTTGATTAAAAAAATCAATTTAATACAGCCGTTTAAATGATAGTTTTATATGATTGTATGAATTTCTGAAGACGAGAGAGGTTTACCAAGTTGGTTGATTTTCAGTCCCATTCGGTTCTATAAGCCCTCTTGATCTTATTGTCTAACGATCTAAATTATTTTTCTATGACTGAGAAATCTCAATTCATTCTGAACAACATCGCTTTAAATAAAATATTTGATTGAATTCTTGAGCATGATTTCTCTGGATCCGAAGAGAAATATTTGTCGACAGCAAAATGTCATATGCAGTGACAAAAAAGAAACTCTGGCGTGCTGAAAAAATAACAATGAGTTGAGGTTGGTTTTACTTTGAAGTCTTGATCTTCCAACAACTCAAAATGAGGAAGTACAACAGGAAATTACAAACTGTTAAGTTTTCAAAAGTTAGGACATTGATATTACAATGAATTTCATGTTATTCAAACCCTGACATAATTGATATAATTACCTTTTTTCGAATAAAAACAATATTATAGTACATGTAGCTCACAAAGATGTGAACAGATAAGGGAGATTGCTATAAATAACAAAGCCTTTGCAGCAACTCTTTTCAAGAGATAGTTGGCGGGGTGTTGGGGTGATATACTTTTTATAATGCCTTTTTGGATGTAATTAACATAATACAATAATCATAATATAATTGTAATATAAACATCAATTATGTGTAAATGCTTTGTTGGTCAAACCGTAAGCATTGTTCATGTTGTAATACCGAAAAAGAACCTGGTTTATATATGTAATCATAAATAAACCTAATCATACCCAATGGAATAAAGATTTGTTGATGTTGAGTTTGTGATTGTAAAATTGGTGTCGCCTTCACTATCCGCCCAGTTTTCAATGGAATTAGACTCTTTACACACCCCTATCATTGTTGTACTATCATTACAGCCACCTCCTGGGAAACAACCAATGCTGGCACTCGAGTTCCTATTCGGACAACTGTCATTATACACAAACGACAGACGGTGATGTATTGTTATCTGTGAGTTAAGGAACATTCTTTCCATTAAATAAGAAGTCATCTGTTTTAAGCAAGTTTTTTTTTACAATTCAAAAAATTTCATGCTCGTGAAGACCACTCAGTATAAAAGCAACCATTTAACTGTGTACAATTAAAACGAAACTTACCTGTGTTTCATTAATGGCTTTCCAGGATAACAGACCGCCACGGAATTTATTATGGTTTGACTTCACAAATGGTACAGCAAGCAAAACAAGGACTGAACACTTATATAAAAATATCATGATCTTAATCATATGGTATTCATAGCACATTCCATTATCCTCGTTTTATAATGAGTTCGATTATTCTGTTTTAATCACAGTTGCATATCTGGTATTTCAGTCTAATTACATGGTCTCCAAAAAGCAATTTGTGTGGTTTTAACAAACATTACACACTGTAATTACTCCTACTTGAGACTTTTAAATGTCATTAACGCAGCATATTGAGGAGACCAATGACTCGACGATGCCCCAAATTTCACTGGAATATTCCTGTATTCATGTTTTGTTCTTAATGTGTAATCTATATTAAATTTCAAACATGGTGCCCGGAGTTAAATATTTCTATCAAGCGTTCCAAACCTCATACCGTTATCTTTGTCATATGAAATGTGTAACTTAATTTAAACTAACACGGCTTCATAATGTATTTTTACAACTATAAACAAAAGTTTTAACCCCGTAGCTTAAGTTTTCCCTTCCCAATTTAATAATTTTAAAATGTTAGGTGTGGTACGCATATGAACTTTATATATCCTTCGATTTAATTACATGTAAATGGACAAGATCAACGCATTGCTTGTATATTCAGCTTTATCTACTCAGTAATTTTTCCGTAAATTTCTTCTGTAAAAAAGGACAACATTTCAGTAAATAGTTATCGGATATCAAGACAAGAGAAGTTAGGCAGAGAAAATCTCTTAGGAATTTTTTTCTATTATGTTGAGAGTATTGGTTATTGGGTATTAAAATATTTGCATCGGAGATAGTGAGGAAAATTCTGATTCAAATTTTTGTCGCTTTGAAATGTTTAAAGCTATGTTGTCTGCAAGTGTTATTTCAAACTATATTTGTATACCCGGTATGTGTTTTGTTTCCTTTTCGTCTGTCCATTTGTCAGTCTAGTTTTCTGCCTAACTATCATACAGCCTTTCGTTGTTATCTGAACGTAAATTTTTTTCTACATATTTGCAGATCTTGAGTCTACCTTGAAGAGTTTCAGAATAATCAAGTTTGTATTTCGATGAGGAAGCCTAAATTTTATGGGAAGGCATCTTACACTTGCGGGTAGGGTCTGACATTGCATCAGCAAACAAATTCCGACAAAACTGCTCAGTTTGGTAAATGGTTTAAACGATGTTCTCTTCCTTTCGCTTTCCGATCCCATCAAAATTTCTGGGTTTCCCCCACAATTTTGTCACATCAAAGGTCAAAGAAGACACAGCAGTCGTGACAGGTCGACAGGGTGCCTCCATGACATCAATTCCACTTATAAAGTTTTTAGTGGCCCTTGTTTGCTCATCGTTAAAGCGGACTTTCGAGCCTGGTTATTACTTGTTATCTGTATTTTTCTCTTAAATTACTCTAAGTCTGAAGAAATTAGAATAACACTTATGTGCTTAAGGTTTCGTCAAAGGTCAACATGTCTAAAAAATTATTTTTACAATAGCTCCAAAACTACGTGTGGTATAAAGTCAAAATGTTTACAATTTATAAATATATCATTGATTAATTGATAGAAAGTATCACTTGATAACAAATATTTCATAAAAGATATTTTTGAGAAAAAATTGTTTCAGAAAATGTGCATATTTAAAGAGAAATGCACCTGCCTAATTCTGTCCTTTTTGTGAAAACCATCATTGTAGAAATAATTTATGTTTATCATTGAAGGGCAAGTTGGACGTGAATGGTCTCTGAAAGGCTGTTATTGAAAGCATGACATGTATAAAGACAAGACCCCTGTAGAACCCGCCATTTGCAATGTACTTTCACTTTCAAGTCTTAATATTTGGACACAATAAACAGGGAAAACAATTTTCCAGAGGCTATCCAAGTCCAACTTGCCCTTCATTGATAAACATATTTTTTTTTCTGCAGTAATGGTTTTCACTGAAAGCACGGAATAAATTAGGTGCATTTTCTGAAAAAACATGCATTTTTAAAAAGAATTTTTCTCAATTTAAATATTTTTTCAAGTATTTTTTATCAAGTGATACTTTCTATCTGTTAATCAATGAAAAATTTATAAACTGTAAAAGTTTTAACTTTATACCTCACATAGTTTTGGAGTTATTGTAAAAATAAATTTTTGGACATGTTGACCTTTGACGAAACCTTAAATACTGAAACTGATGAACAATTCGGTTCATATGAAGCTGAAGCATATTTGCAGCTCTGTTCTGCAGCATGTTAAATAATAAAGAGAGAGTGTGTGTGTATACAGCATTTATTACAAATGCGAAATGAAATTAGAGATTTTACATTTTCAGAATGCAGCAAGAGGTGGGGCCCCAAAAATATCCCACGCCTTATGCATGTTATGCAAAAGAAAACTAGTACATATATTTTGTAATATAACAAAAGGCACCTTATAAAAAAGAAACTAGCACATGTATTTCTACAATAAAAATAGGTATGGAGGATTGAGGGGGTGGAGGTGGGTAAAATTTGTAAACCACTTTTTCGGAGTCAAAAGTTATTTTGATAAGGATAAGGGTAATAGCCGTGGCTAGAGGGCGCTTAAATATAAAACCTAAAATCCCTTCGGGACCCATGAATTCACACAAAATAGTGATTAATAAAAATACGCAATTTTGTACGCATTTAGATCACATAAATTCATTTATATACATAAATACACCTATAGCTTTGATAACTGCAGAGGTTTGGTGGTTAACAAAATATCTCCTTAGAAATAGTGTTTTTTTTTCAAAATTTTCCAGATTTGAGATTGCATTTCTTTAAAAAAAACATAATATAATGTTTGTTTGTGGTTTTGTTATAAAGATATTTAGTTAACAAGTAGTACTATGTTTGATTTGATAAAAACCATAAAATATTATCGTACCTTTATATTCTATGTCCCTTCCCTAAGACCTCAGAATTATGAAACAGATTTATACTCTTTCCTGATTTGTACTGTTTGAATGGACATTTGAGCTCGAACACAGTTTGTTATCGCCATATATTTAACTGAAGTCAAAATTTCAATCATCTGTAAAATATTCATTGCGAATCTACCATTTCATTAAACTATCAATATTTTGACGTAAACTTTATGAAGATGTTTCATTTTGTAGAGCCATGTGTTCTCTGGGAAGTAAGACTTCCGTTATTAAACGAACTATCATAATTAATAATGACAAAGTATGAAATCGTACAATTCGCTCTTTTAAAATACATGTCAATATAAATGGTTAAAATATGAATGGGTTTTCGAAAAAGTATTTGGAGCTCCTATAAAGTTTTTGAAATGTGATTGGGTATATGTTTCAAATTGCTTCGCATAATCAAGTATTTGACCTTTCAGCACTCGCAAAATTGATTTTTCTGGTATTGACTATTTAACAAGCAAGAAAATTATTTTAAAGTCTTAAACTTTTGCTGAATTTACGAAGATATATACACACGAAAAAGTTGCTAATTTTATGCTAAAATTGGCTCAACTTTTTCCTGGACTTTTAGTATATATCAAATATAACACAAAATAGAATGAAAGAATTGATAAGAAATGATTAAATATATATTTCGGACCCAGCATGAAATATTTCAATGAGCAAAACATTTCTGTGTGCAACCAGCATGGAAAAATATTAATGAAATATATATGAAAATAACGGATTCAAGCTCAAAAGAGTCTATAAAACAATATAGGAACAGAGCAAACACGGATCTCCAAAACATTAGAAGTGGGATCAGATGACATGGAGAAGTGAGCATCCCCTGCGGACAGGTCACACCAGCCGTGTGCTCTTTGTCATGATCGGGATATAAAGGAAAATCCGCTGTCAATTTTGTGAATGAATAATGGACTAACAATTAGTATGAAAAAAAACGTCAGTCCGCATTTGACTCAATGATAAATTGTATTTATTGACAAGGTAACGACCATAAAATTTACGAAATAATGACTTTAAACGACACTGCTGATATTCTTGTTTCATCAAATTGTTTGTCAATAATTTACATCGTTAAGTAAGGGAAGTTGACGATTGAAAAGTTAAAGTCATCAGGTTTATCATGGAGTTTGGTTGTTAGATTACTATTAGCGTCATTTTCAATATCCAAATATCAACAGATGTGTAAGATTCTGTGTTATCTTTTATCTCAAGCTAACTGGGGTATATATTCTCGACACAAGAATGGAAATATCCATTGTTATTGACAATACGTCATCGATATGTCTAAATGTCTTTTTGAAGTCACCACTTAACAGTACTGTATATATTTCAAAAGCGAACGGGATATATATTGCATGAACTTGTAAACATTAATGGAATAATTAGTGTTCATAAAACAATCAGCGTTCTCTCTTCAATTATCTTCTTGCATCGGCATTATTCCAAGACCTGTAAAAATAAAATATGCAAGTGAAGGATTGAAGTAAACAATATATCATTTTTTCATCAAATGAATTTTTGAGATAAAATAGCGCAAAATTAATGTGAAGTGTCTGCGTATTAAATAATATTATTTATGTATTGATATTATAGAGAATTCATCACTGTTTCTTCTCTGCAATCTACAATCTGAAATAAGAAAATAAATTGTTAATTTCCTGTTAACTTAAATCATGGTTAAAGTTATAAGTATTATGCACGTACAAATAAATAGAAATAATTAAACAATAACTTATTCTTCAGCATATAATAACATGTATGGAATTTCAGATATTGACAACAGAAAATAAACAAATAACATAAATAAACATTCACACTCTTTCATTCATGTTTAGAAATGCACAACATTATCACATAAAATTATAACAAATTACGAAGAACAAAATAACATGATAAAAATTTGAATTGCATATACATATGTAATTCTTCATCGTATCTCTCTCACTTTTACAAATGATATTTAATGTTCTGAAGCAAAGACATACCCAAATGAAATATACCGATTTAAAATTATTTTTCAAAGAATGAACGATTGAAAGTGTTGTACTCACTGAAAAGTGATTAATAGTTTCATTTGTCTTAATTTTTTAAAATTTACTTACTCTGCTAACAGTTTGTTCCATTTAATCCTGCCTCACAACTGCAGTTGTAATCATTCATGAGGTCCACACATGTTGCATTGTTTTGACAAGAATTTTCAGCACATTCATCAATATCTGTTACAAACAAAATACATTAGTTATGTCTTAGAAATAGATCATATCCAATGGTTTGCAATTGGATCGGTAATTTATTTTACTACCGGTAAAGGGTTTGTAAAACTTTCAGAAGAATTTGAAAAAAAGAATTGCAAAGAAAGTGATTACTTTGCAAGTAGGGAAGAAGTTGACTGCACGACAAAAAAGAACTTTCTTCAATAATATCAAGATTTTGATCAAGAAAAATCTCGGGTAATGACTAATTGAGAGCAGAATGGTAAGGGGTTATGTCAAGACACGTCAAGGGGTAGAATTGGGTGTCAGGACCAATGAAAAGGAAAATATTAGGTGAGAGTAAGGGACGACACAGGAGAATTTCGGAAACTGACAATAGAACTTCAGTTTTTTTAATCTAAGGGTCGGGAAATCTTCTCAGTATTTCAGTGGGAAACCTTTGATACTTTCTGGAGTGCGAGGTAAAGAAGTGACAAATTAAAAGAATCTGCCACACGAATAAAATGAATCAAGGATTAATATAGAACATCGATCTCTAAGATATCTTCCAGAAAAAGTCAATCTTTCCCTTGAAAAAGCATGAATCATTTAGCCTTTTACATGCATTTACTGTTTGTACAATAAGTGTCATTGAATCCTGCAGCACAGTTACATTGATAATCATTGATCAGATAAAGGCATGTTCCATTTTTCTGATATGGATTTTCAGCACATTCATCAATATCTGTAACAGATGCTCTATGGTAAGCATTGCTGATTTTGAACGTGTTTTGTTAACCGTCATTTCTTATCCTTTTCATTGACTTACCTTCCTCGCAGTTGGTTCCATTAAATCCAGGAGCACAGCTACACTCATAACCATTGATGAGGTCCGCACATGTTCCATTTCTGACAAGGACTATCGGCACATTCATCAATGTCTGTAAAATCCTTCTTTATGTAATCGCAACTTTCTCTTAAACAAAGGATATCAAATGTTGTGAATCATAGACATTCCCATGTGAAATATACCAACTACAGAATATCACGTATTGAATGAATAATTAACAATGTTGTGCTCACTGCAATGTGGTCAGTAGTTTCATTTGTCCTAATTTCATTAATTTACTAACTCTCCTCACAGTTTGTTCCATTAAATCCTGAAACACAACTGCAGTTGTAATCATTGATGAGGTCCACACATGTTGCATTGTTTTGACAAGGATTTTTGCGCATTTATCAGTATCTGTTACAAAAAAAATTTCGCAGGACATAGTAAGTACACAAACCGTACGTAGCGTTTCGCTTTTTAGGTCACCTGAGTAACTCAGGTGACCTATTGCTATCTGTTTTCGTCCGTCGTGCGTCGTGTGTCGTGTGTCGTGTGTTAACATTTGAACATTTTCAGCTTCTTCTCTAAAACCACTGAACCAATTTCAACCAAATTTGGTATACAGCATTTATGGGTGAAGGGGAACAAAAATTGTGAATTTCATGGTCCCCGCCCCCCTGGGGCCTGAGGGGTGGGGCCAAAACCACTAAAATTAATGAAATATTTAAAAATCTTCTTCTTTACTCCTGGACATCAAGCAGACAAACTGTTGGCATGAATGTAATGAGAATTGAGTCCTCTACCAAAATTGTGAAATTCATGGCCCCAGGGTCAGGGGTTCTAGTGCTAGGGCGGGGCTCTGTAGATTATATAGTGAAAATGCATTATTTCTTTGAAAATCTTCTTCTCTGCTCCTGGGTATTAAATAAACTAACTAAGCACATAGTTATGATGAGCAAGAGTGCCTCTTCCAGATTTGTGAATTTTATGGCCCCAGGGTCAGGGGTTCTAGTGCTAGGGCGGGGCTCTATAGATTATATAGTGAAAATGCATTATTTCTTTGAAAATGTTCTTCTCTGCTCCTGGGTATTAAATAAACTAACTAAGCACATAGTTATGATGAGCAAGAGTGCCTCTTCCAGATTTGTGAAATTCATGGCCCCAGGGTCAGGGGTTCTAGTGCTAGGGCGGGGCTCTGTAGATTATATAGTGAAAATGCATTATTTCTTTGAAAATCTTCTTCTCTGCTTCTGGGTATTAAATAAACTAACTAAGCACATAGTTATGATGAGCAAGAGTGCCTCTTCCAGATTTGTGAATTTTATGGTCCCAGGGTCAGGGGTTCTAGTGCTAGGGCGGGGCTGTATAGATTATATAGTGAAAATGCATTATATTTTTGAAAATGTTCTTCTCTGCTCCTGGGTATTAAATAAACTAACTAAGCACATAGTTATGATGAGCAAGAGTGCCTCTTCCAGATTTGTGAAATTCATGGCCCCAGGGTCAGGGGTTCTAGTGCTAGGGCGGGGCTCTGTAGATTATATAGTGAAAATGCATTATTTCTTTGAAAATCTTCTCCTCTGCTCCTGGGTATTAAATAAACTAACTAAGCACATAGTTATGATGAGCAAGAGTGCCTCTTTCAGATTTGTGAATTTTATGGTCCCAGGGTCAGGGGTTCTAGTGCTAGGGCGGGGCTGTATAGATTATATAGTGAAAATGCATTATATTTTTGAAAATGTTCTTCTCTGCTCCTGGGTATTAAATAAACTAACTAAGCACATAGTTATGATGAGCAAGAGTGCCTCTTCCAGATTTGTGAATTTTATGGTCCCAGGGTCAGGGGTTCTGGTGTTAGGGCGGGGCTCTATAGATTATATAGTGAAAATGCATTATTTCTTTGAAAATGTTCTTCTCTGCTCCTGGGTATTAAATAAACTAACTAAGCACATAGTTATGATAAGCAAGAGTGCCTCTTCCAGATTTGTGAAATTCATGGCCCCATGGTCAGGGGTTCTAGTGCTAGGGCGGGGCTCTGTAGATTATATAGTGAAAATGCATTATTTCTTTGAAAATCTTCTTCTCTGCTTCTGGGTATTAAATAAACTAACTAAGCACATAGTTATGATGAGCAAGAGTGCCTCTTTCAGATTTGTGAATTTTATGGTCCCAGGGTCAGGGGTTCTAGTGCTAGGGCGGGGCTGTATAGATTATATAGTGAAAATGCATTATATTTTTGAAAATCTTCTTCTCTGCTCCTGGGTATTAAATAAACTAACTAAGCACATAGTTATGATGAGCAAGAGTGCCTCTTCCAGATTTGTGAATTTTATGGTCCCAGGGTCAGGGATTCTGGTGTTAGGGCGGGGCTCTATAGATTATATAGTGAAAATGCATTATTTCTTTGAAAATCTTCTTCTCTGCTCCTGGGTATTAAATAAACTAACTAAGCACATAGTTATAATGAGCAAGAGTGCCTCTTCCAGATTTGTGAATTTTATGGCCCCAGGGTCAGGGGTTCTAGTGCTAGGGCGGGGCTCTATAGATTATATAGTGAAAATGCATTATTTCTTTGAAAATGTTCTTCTCTGCTCCTGGGTATTAAATAAACTAACTAAGCACATAGTTATGATGAGCAAGAGTGCCTCTTCCAGATTTGTGAAATTCATGGCCCCAGGGTCAGGGGTTCTAGTGCTAGGGCGGGGCTCTGTAGATTATATAGTGAAAATGCATTATTTCTTTGAAAATCTTCTCCTCTGCTCCTGGGTATTAAATAAACTAACTAAGCACATAGTTATGATGAGCAAGAGTGCCTCTTCCAGATTTGTTAATTTTATGGCCCCAGGGTCAGGGGTTCTAGTGCTAGGGCGGGGCTCTATAGATTATATAGTGAAAATGCATTATATTTTTGAAAATCTTCTTCTCTGCTCCTTGGTATTAAATAAACTAACTAAGCACATAGTTATGATGAGCAAGAGTGCCTCTTCCAGATTTGTGAATTTTATGGTCCCAGGGTCAGGGGTTCTGGTGTTAGGGCGGGGCTCTATAGATTATATAGTGAAAATGCATTATTTCTTTGAAAATCTTCTTCTCTGCTCCTGGGTATTAAATAAACTAACTAAGCACATAGTTATGATGAGCAAGAGTGCCTCTTTCAAAATTTTGAATTTTTTGATCCCAGGGTCAGGGGTTCTGGTGTTAGGGCGGGGCTCTATTGGTTATATAGTGAAAAAAACAGTTCTTTGAAAATGTTCTTCTCTGCTCCTGGGTATTAAATAAACTAACTAAGCACATAGTTATGATGAGCAAGAGTGCCTCTTCCAGATTTGTGAATTTTATGGTCCCAGGGTCAGGGTTCTGGTAGTAGGGCAGGGCTCTTTTGATTATATAGTGAAAATGCATTTATTCTTTGAAAATCTTCTTCTCTGCTCCTGGATATTAAATAAACTAACTAAGCACATAGTTATGATAAGCAAGAGTGCCTCTTCCAGATTTGTGAATTTTATGGTCCCAGGGTCAGGGGTTCTGGTGTTAGGGCGGGGCTCTATTGATTATATAGTAAAAATACATTAATTCTTTGAAAATATTTTCCTTTGCTTCTGGGTTTTATGCCAATGATCCAAGTATATATATATTTATGATGAAGAAAGGTGCATCTAGCAAAGTGGTTTTTTTATGCCCCCAGGGTCAAAGGGGGGGGGGTTACATAGTCTGAAAATAAATTAATGCTTTGATTACATTTGCAAAATTTTTAAATATGTGGCCAGGGCCATGGGTCACTTGGTGAGGTGCACAACTGGTTATAAAGTGGAAGCGCATTTTCTCTTTGTTACTCTGATCTATCTCTGGGTATTAAGTAAATAGAGTAAGCATGCTAAGTTAATAATTATGATAAGTAATGGTGCCTCTTTCAAAATTGTAAATTGTGAATTTCATGGCCTCCGGTTTAAAACATGAACCAAATATAATTGTTTGAAAGTTGTTGCACAATACTAAGGTGACCTATAAGGCCCGTGGGCCTCTTGTTATATTTTAGTCTTTGTCAAAGAATGTCAAATGTTTTGCACACGAATTTGTAGTGTTTTTCACAGCTGGAGTTTTCATGAAAGAAATGCACAATTTTCAAATGCTTATACTTTTATCGTCTAAATAGATTCTATTTGCCAGTAAAATTTTAAAATCCAACTATTAAAATTGATATTTCCTTGAACAACATTTCTACAATTAATAAATTTTAACGGATGACGAACGACGAAAGACACATGACGAGAGACAAAAGCAAATAGCTAGAGGCTACCTGGGTTACTTAGGTGACCTCCTAAAAATTGCAGAAAATATCAATTTTCAGCTGAAATGAATCATTTTGAGGTTTTTTACTGTTTAAAACTTAGATATGTTCCAAGTTGATGACGTAATATTTCCATTTTGGTTCTCTAGCTTTTATGCCTTATTGTTTCATGATTTATCACATTCACACACCTAAATCATATTTATACCAATTTGATAAATTTTCGAAAATAATTAAATATTAAAGGCAAAAAAGCCCAAACTGCACCTTCCTTTCTGCCCAAGAAATTTTGTTTAAAAATTAATAAATTCAAGTTTGTTGGTCATAAAAAAGTTGATAAAATTATTAAAGTTCATTGACATCAGATCAACACCAGGCTTCAGTTTTACTAAACTTCGTATCTTAAGAAAAAAAGTCTGAGTTACGAAGTTCGTAACTTTGTACTTAATGTGGCGATATGTCCCCCCTTTTAATTCATCCAATATTTTACAGCCAATCTGCTAGACTTTATAAATTATGCTGCGTGCCTGAAAAATATATTTTTGCCAGTTTAATTGTTGACGGACTCGATTACATAAATCAATCACACAATGGATATGCATTGCTTCCGCGACTTCTGCAACACGTAATTCTTTTTGAAGTGGCATTTTAACAAACATAATGTGTTTGTTTCCATTTTACAAACAGACTTCATGTTAAGAATGTTCGATCCTGTGCTTTTATGCAGAATTTGGTCTGAACCTACATTTCCAAAATTGTACATTATTTTAAAGTTCTGTAACATTAAATCTAGATTCTACAATGCAAATTAAACTTTAACTTATGCCAAATCCGTGATTTTATTCCATTAGAATAGGATTAAGCAAGGAACTATGTTTTGTGGTGAAAGTGTTTTTGAGAAGATTTATTTTTTTTTGAAAATTATACAGTACTGTTAAGTTTACCGGTAGATTCCTATTTTTCCTTGATTGGTTGGACACAGAGCTGTTTTCCCCAGTGAAATGGTTTATGCTGGTTCTGAAATATCTATTTAATAATTTCTTACGAATTCTTTTATATTATGACAAATATAGTAAATATTTTCTGAAAGCCCAGGTAAAAATTGACCCAACTTTAACATAATATTAACACATTATTAGTAATATCTAAAAACAAATTACATCAAATACCCCTTTTTGTTTTTCTTTTCTGAATATATAAAATTACTTTGATCAATCTGCTTAAATTCAGCAAAAGTTTGTCTTTGAAAATAATTTTCTTACTTGTTAAATTTAGCATTTTGTGAGTGCAGAAAGGTCAAATAATTGATCATGGGAAGAAATTTAAAACTTTTTCTTGTCACACGTTTGAAGTCTGTTTTTTAATAGACTTAAAATATATGTGTTTTACGGATTATTTGAATAAAAAAAAAATTGAAGGGAATTTCCAAAGCGTTGAGGGCATGATTGTGATTTTTAATTAATACACACATATCAGGGCAAAAAGGTAATATTAAATGTTCTGACGTGCTATATTAAGCAAATTATTAAAGACTTTGAATAATAGGATACAACCTTCTGGTTGCAGTTAAACCATATGGAATAATTGCAAGCCCATGGATAAATTCCATAGTTATCATAATTTATTCTCGATTTACTTTACAATAGAGGCAATTTGAGATTATACGCTAAATGCTTTAATACATTGACACTAAATTAAGCCATCACGATATATACTATTTTTTTTTTTAAAATTTCTTGGTATGCTTTTAAAATTTCTTAAATGTCCACACTTTCAAAAGACTATTGAAATATGATTTTGTTTTATACGATATACTCGTACATACCCATACATGTACATGTAAGTCAATATAATGATTTACCTGTAATATTAACCGTTATACACCGTGATCCAGTGGAGCGCCTGCAAGTGTAAAAAGTAATATAATTTGTGAAATATTTTATTACACTGTGTCCAGAAGTAATATTATACTTGCAACAAATGAAAATATATATTCTAGAAAATATTCTAAAAATTATTACGAAAAAATTTCATCATATATTTATGTATCAGGGTTCAGGGTTTTCCAACACAAATTTTACATTTTGTAAAGAAATAAATGAGTTTACCTATAGTTTGATTCTGCTGAAAAACACAAGACATATATTCCTATTTCCTCAGCTAGTATATCAGTCTTTGAAATAGTTGTCTCATATTCGTACAGCACGGGATAGGAGATGGCAGATATTGTAAAATCAAGTGGTGACAAAATATGAAATCTAGATATACTGTAAAAGAATAAACTCATATTACACCCACGCACTGTGTACTGCCAAATCATTATCACTTCCAAAATTCGAATCAGGAAATTGACTAATCGAAAATATATTCAACGAAAACAAACGATTACAGTGCAATATCAAGATGCTATACTTAAAACAAAAAACAGTGAAAAGCATAGTTCTTGGGTTCTGGAATTGGTTTCTAACCAAACAAATGAAGCAATCTATATTATAAAATTTCCAAGAAAATACGTGGATATTATATACCTTTCAGGTGTTACAGATATCCTAGCTCTTGCTTTAAACTGTAATGAGCCGTTGTGAACTTGTATGACATTTCCCTCTGTAGGAGTAGGGGACACAAATATTGGTTCAAAATAACAGGCACCGTCAGAAGTTACTGTTATAATGAATTGTAAAGGAATGCTACTCAGGGGAGAAGTTGAAGTAGAGTTTTTGAAATCTTCTATTTGTATCGCCATGGCATAAATTCCAAATGTATGACCAGCTATATAAAAACCACAGAATTCCTACAAATAAGAGATTCGAAATGCTGAAAAATTTAAGTGAATACATTGAGCGAACATGTGAACATTTGAGTAAGTAAATAGGAATAATTATAGCAAACGAATGTACAGGCAGAAGAAATACAGGCAGTCATGCTCATATTAGTCAGAGAAGGGTATTTTATGGTTAAATATATACGTGTAAGCTCACAGTAATTGAAAAAATTCTGATACCAAAAAAATCTTACTTCATTAAACCCACTGATAATGCTTGTCTTGTTACAGATATCACCGCACTCTTCTGTTGTTGTGGGGAGACGACACCGTACATTGTCCCCGTCGTAATCCGCCACTTAAAAAGATTTGCTTTGATAAACTTAATAGTTTGATGTCAATTATCCTTTACATAAATAACTTTTTTCATTTCATAGATATATCGACGTCAGAAAAAGGCATATTTTTATGGGTGAAAAGGCTTTATTTGTATAAGCCGAATCAATGTCCTATTCAAATAGGTGACATTACTAATTCGAATTGGTTATCACCTATTTGCATTTCTTACAACATTAAATTCTGAATGATCCATATCTCAAGAAAATCTAGTATCAAGGCAAAGTAAAGAACTTTTTTTTCCTGATTCAAAATTGATTGAAATCTTTTCATCGCTCTTTAAGCAAACTTTTAAAAAAGATTAGTAAAATTTTTGTTTAGGAACTTTTTATGCTTAGATTGAGACATAACCACTACTATGTTGACATTGTTTTGATTAAAACTGTAGATTTGATGTAAGATCTTTTTTGGCATAAAGAGGACAGTGTTTGTTAAATACATTGTATATATATTCACAAAAAGACCATACAAAATCGAATCGCAAATGAAAAAAAAACAACTAGATTTTCATTGACCTTAAACAAATTCGGAATGCCCTTCTCCCTTTGTTATTTTAAAAATACAATATGTCTCACGTCTCTCTTTGAAGTTGGATAATTTTGACTGCATTGCATGTATGAATAGACCCAGGAACAGTTGTCATGTCATAACGTATTTGAAAAGGTGGTATCATCTATTTGAGCAGGTGATAAAACCAATTTCAATTGGTAAATCTCATCTTTTTTTGATTTAGACAGGTGATCTCACCCATTAAAATAGATGATATCCCTATTTCAAGTCAAATTGATAATAGCGTAATATACCCCGTTAATATGTTTCAATAGGTGAAAAAACCTATTCGAAAAGGTATATTTCAGCTTTTTGATTTGGATATCCAAATAGTTGATATCACTTTTTCAAGTCAAAATGATTATAATTGATTGTTCTTCTTACCGATGTAGGGCTGCATATTTCTACTTTTACTCGGAATTCAGGACCCTTGAGCAATGAGAGGTCTTTTTAGTACCAAAAACTACTTTGAAACGGGATATCGGTTTATGTCGTCTCATCCGAAGGACTGGTTATTATTCATGTATATTTTTTTTTATTTGAAATAACAAGTATCAAAATAAATATCTTTCATATCATTATATCTTTTATTAATAGGCTTAAAATTTGCTTTAGAGGTTGGGGCCTCCTGTTCATTTTTTCCGACAGACGAGTCATTTTGGGTAGCTTACATGTAAATATGTGCATGATTTAAAATCAATGGATTCACCACTTTGTGGAATTTAACTTAGTTTTAGAGAGATGCATGCTATAATGAACTTGAATATTATTACCTGCTGTTTACTTGAAAGATAAATTTTGTTAAACAGTGATTTTTGAGATTCGGTGATTGAATGAAATACAGTTTAAAATAAATTTACTCAGAACCTTAAAACTAAACTACAGGTTACATTTTTTGCAATCTGAATCAAAACTTTTTATTAGAATTCGATACGTATTCGTTTAAAAATCAAACGTTAATAGATATGACATCAACGTGATATCAACAAAATATCATCGTTTATACAATATTCAACTAAAAGTCAACTTAATTTCAACCAATGTTAACTTTTTTTATAATGTGATATTTGATATTGAAAAAAAACCGTTGAATTCTTAATGTTGCCTTAACTTTCATTCAACCAAAATTCTACTATACATCAACTAAAGTTCAACCCATTTTTAATGTCTACTCAAAAAATTCAACGTTGAACCAAGGTTAAAATTCGTACTCGGTAAGATCTTATGTACCTTAAATTTTATATACAAGTTGTCCATTTTAAAACAACACTGGTCATTTACAAAATTATTTTGTTAAAACACATTCTAATTGCACCACATTTTTGTATTTGACATACTGAGTATTCTTACATAAGATTTATATTGCGTGGAGGGTGCCAAAAGTGTGACAGATAAGATTTTACAGATTAAATAAATAAGAAGTGCTGTAAGTGGCCTAAATTCAAATACCTGGTATTATTATACTGATATAACTGCAATAACCAACAATGATTGATGAGGCCATTGCCGAAACAGGAGACTGGTTAATTGTTCCTGTGTCGGTTCTTGTGGATACGTCAACCGTCATTCGTAAGCTCCATGAACTTGCAGATTCTTCTAGAGAAATCCAAGCACTACCCGAATATCTATGAAAAAGTGTCAAAAACTGACTACAATGTACTAATTTTTTTTCAAATGTGCCAAAAATTAATTTCACGGAAAATATATTATATGGCAAATATACAGTTAAATAACGTTGGTTTGATCAACACAAGGAACTCACCATTCTTATATGCAAAAATTGAAGATATACATTAAATATCATAAAAAGTTACAAAAGATTAATTTATTCGAAATATACGGACGGGCATATAATGAAAGACCCACGTTTTAGAGTTTAAGAAGTGAGTTTGATTATGGTTCATTATCTCAATATCATTATCTCAATATTATTACACTAAAAAACTCTTTGAACAAGTTCCTGATGGTCGGAAATGGAAAAAAGAAAATTTATTACACATCGGGAAAGAGTTGCAAATAAATGAAAATAAATCAGAATTGTTGATGAATGTCATTTTCCGAAAAAAAGAAGAATCATCAAATATTAATAATATGCTGTCATCCTCATCCCAACTTCTCCATGAACCAAAGGGAATTTTTATGTAATTTTGGATGAAAAAATAAATATTGCAACAGACATTTTTAAATGACTTTTTAGATCACCTGAGCTTACCATCAATATCTCTTTCTTTCTGTCGTGTTTGAAAATTTTCAGCTTCTTCTCTTCAACCGCTAAACAAATTTTGACGAATTTTGGCATAAAGCATCTATGAGTTGAACAAATATTATAATTTCATTGTCCCTGCCACCCTTGGGCCTCAGGGATGGGGCCAAAACCACTAAAATTAATGAAATCTTTAAGATGCTCCTGGACATTAAGCAGTCAAACTGTTTGCATGATTGTAATAACCATAATGAATTAATCCTCTACCAAAATTGTGAATTTCATGGCCCCAGGGTCAGGGGATCAAGTGCTAGGACTACGCTATATAGATGACATGGTGAAAATGTATCTTTTCTTCTTTGTTCCTGCTTATGAAACAAACGAACGTAATGTATAGTTACATTTGTAATAAAGAAGGGTGTCTCTTCCAAAACTGTGAATTTCATGGTCCCTGGGAGTATTTCAGAGTACTCATTTGTACAATCAGAATAAGTTTTAACAAAATAATTTTTCAGATGACCAATGGCAAGGTTAGTAATTTACGAGTTTCATTTTTAATGAAAAAGCAGTTGTCAATGATATAAAAAAAAATCTTGACTTTAATTTATCGTGGGGAATGGCTGTGTGTAAAGTTGAGAAGTCGTAAGTTTTTAAGCTATTGATTTTGGAAAAAATTTTAAATTGTCCAAAAGTTTTTTTTTGAATTTTGAGTATCCACATCTGATTTATACCACTTCTTGAATATATTGTTGCACATTACTCTTGAAATTTCTACTTCACTACTGTTAATATCTTAGTAAGGAGTAAAGAAAGAGGCTTGGTTGAACATTTACTGGAACCCGCTACATGTATGCATCATAAGCGTCAGAAGCAAATCAAAAATGTGTGTGTGTGTGGGGGGGGGGGGTGTCTAAACCGACAAAAAAGGGTAATCCCTAATTTTCAATGCTTATATAATGTCTATCTGTTCTAAGCCCCCCGGTTCCGATGCCTATGTGTATCTTTGTAAGGATTCGTATGAAGTTTCGGAATTCAATATTTGTGGTAGTTCAAAATCATTTTTGTTCTTTGGGATATGAAAAATATTCAAAACTGACATATGATTTTTAAGAATATCTTCTTTCGAAATTTCTTTCTTAGTGGCCTCAGCGTCCCCCCGGGATCTTGATTTGAACAAGCTCGAATGTACACTACATGTATCTAAAATGCTTCCTTGCACATATGACCAATTATGGTTATGTTGATCATCAAAAAAGATTTTTAACGATATATTTTATATATCTATTTTAAATTTGATTTTCCTTTGCTGTACCGCCCTTCCCTTGGTTTTGTTGTGCTTGAGAAGTTTTCAAAAGATTTTCTCCATAAATTCCTATGTAAAACTTTGATCATCCATTGTGGTTCCACCCTACCCTACCTGCTTACTTGTAAACATGACTAATCATGTTGATCTGCAAAAGATTTTAAAGATTTTTATTTATATATATTCATATTTTAAATTTGATTGTCCATTGCGGCCTAGCCCTACCCCCGAGGGTTATGGTATGAATAAACCTGAATCTACACCACCTGAGTATGCTTCTATATAAATATGATAAATCCTGACTGTTGTTCTTTGGAAGAAGATTTTTAAAGATTTCTCCCGTATATTCCTTTGTAAATGTTATCATGGTTCCGCCCAACCTTCGAGGGTCATGATTTAAACAAACTTTAATTTAAACTACCTGAGGATGCTTCCACATTAGATTTTTTCCTGACCCAGTGGTTCTTCGGAAGACGATTTATAAACCATGCCACCAAATTTTTACTACTTTCTTCTTAATTATCTCTCATCGTGGTCCTTTACTTGAATAAACTTAAATCCCCTTTACCCAAAGATGCTTTCTGACAAGTGCGGTTAAAATTGGCCCAGTGATTCTGGCAAAGAAGTCAAAACTACGAAACAGACGGACACCATACAAAATGTGATCAGAAAAAGTTTACCTGAGCTTTTAGTTTAGGTGAGTGAGCTAAAAATACATGGACAAAAGTTATCCTACTGGAACTCAGAAAATTAAATTGAAATTGATAGGGGAATGTTTTAAAAGGTATCTTTTAGACTAAACTCTGTGAAATATAAAATGGGAATATTTGTTGAGAACATCATAGTGACGCAATGTTTTTTTGACATTGTAATGTAGCTCCAGGGAAACCATGGTGTTGATTTTTAAATTAAGTACGATATATACTGTAAATTAATTTCTCTTAAATCAAATGGAATAAAATTTAGCACATCAACGCAAAATTTTTTTATGCATGAAAATGTTTTTTTATTACTCAAAAGTGGTATAAATAATATTGGCATGATCTGCGAACTTTTTAACAACCTTTGAATTTGCGTAGCGTTGTCAGGTTGACGTCATAATGTCATATTGTCATCTTTTAAAGAAAATACATATATTAAGATAACCTTGTAGGAAAAATGATTTGAGGTAATTATAAAAAACTAAGCTAAATTAAAAAGAACATGTTTAAAAAAAATATTAATCAAATTTGGAGACAGTGCGTAGTACTACTTTCTTCTTTCAGCATTATTCAGCATTTCAGCAATTTTTTAAGGTTTCAGAAAAACGTGTAATCAAAATGTATGAATAGAATTATTTTTATCATTCAAATAAGGCTTCAATTTTTCGACTTCAAAAGCAATCGCTGACATGTCATTGCATTTTTCTTTAAAAAAATCTATATATTCGTTTCGGGCATCAGAACATGTTAACCAGGAAACATTGAAGCCATATTTTTTATTTACTTGAGTCACTCAGGTGACCTATTTCTATCTGAATTTCCCCGTCATCGTTCGTCATACGTCGTTCGTGAACCTTTGTGACTTCTTCTCTGAAACCATTGTACCAATTACAACCAAATTTGGCGCAATAGTTTATGCGTAATGGACAAAAAATGGTGAATTTCATGGTCCCTGCCACCCTTGGGACCTAATAAGAGATGGGACCACAACCACCTATATTAACACAATTCTTAAAAACCTTCTTCTTTACTCATGGACATCAAGCAATTACAATTATGACATGATTTTAATCAGCATTGAGTCCAAAATTGGGATATTCATGGCCCCAGGGTCGCGGGGCCCAAGTGCAGGGATGGGGCTATATATATTTTATTTTGAAAGTACATTTTTCTTTGAAATGTTCTTCTCTGCTCCTGGGTATTAAACAAACATATATGAGGAGAGATATATGATTAGGAACGGTGCCTCTTTCAAAATTGAGAATTTCATGGTCCAGTGGTTCTGGTTTTACGACTGGGTTTCTATTGATTATATAGAGAAAATGCTTTGATCTTTTGAAAATCCTCTTTGCGCCTGGATATTAAACGAAGTAACTACATAATTATATAATTATGATGAGTAAGGGTGACTTTTCCCAAATTATGAATTTCATGACCCCAGAGTCAGGGGTTTTGTGTTAGGGTGGGGCTCTATTGAAAATAAAGTAAAAACGCATTTTATTCTTTTAAAATTTTCTCTGCTTTTAGGAGTTAAACAAACTACATGTAACTACATACATTGTTAGAATGAGCAGGGCGCTTCTTCAAAAATTGTTAACTTTATGGCTACATTGTCAAGGTTTGGTGTAAAGGCGGAGCTCTATTGATTATACAGTGAAAATGCATTAATTCTTGGTATTGATCAAGCATAATGAGCAAGGGTGCCTTTTCCAGCATTCTGAAATTAGTTGGCATGGTTTTTTTGTTCTCCTGTTCTGCCTATGGGTATACAGTACTAGTAACCAAACTAAGCTTGCTTAGTGTAAAGCCATGCCTCTGGTTTAAAACATGAACTAAATTCAATTGTTGGAAATTTGTTACAGGATGCCCAGGTGACCGATAAGGCCCATGGGCCTCTTGTTTCCTTGTTAAAGTTTATTAAATATATGGCGAGTCTTTTTATCATTTGCTGTTATTTATGCGACTATATAATTACTGTAGACGTACTTTTTCCCACGGGGTCATAATTCCGCGGAATCTCAATTTCTGTTTAATCCGCGGGTAGAAAATTACGCGGATTTTCTAGATTGTCACTGTATTTGCCTTACAATTATATTAAGTACGCTTGGACAAATTTCCGCGGAAAAATTATGAGCGCGTACATAGCGTAACTTAATACCACGCGGAAAAAAGTACTTATACAGTATGTCTTCCCTCCTTTATAAGTTAGATTAAATACAGAGAATGACTCCTAACTTAATTAAATGTTACATATCGTGTTTATATTAATTTAACAAAGCTGATCTAGATTAAACGAGATTGGTTCACCAATGTGTAGATTGTCTTTACATACCCAATAAAGTATACATTTGTTGATGTCGAGTTTGTGATTGTAAAATTGGTGTCGCCTTCACTATCTGCCCAGTTTTCAGTGGAATTAGCTTGCGTACAGAGCCCTATCATTGTTGCATTATCATTACATCCTCCTTTAGGGAAACAGCTAATTGTGGCACTAGAATTCCTATTCGGACAACTTTCATTATACACAAACGACAAACGGTGATGAACTGTTATCTGTAATTTAGGAAAACATTGTATTACAAACTAATAAAACCAATATGTTTTAATAGTAATTATTGTTAAGGAATTTGCAACAAATTTACCTGTGTCTCATTAAAAGCTTTCCAAGAAAATAAACCACCACGAAAATGGTCTAACTTCACGAATGGTGCCGCAAGTAAAACAAGAATTAAACACTTACATAGAAGCATCATAGAATTAATTTCATGTTTAAGTTATCATCTATCTATTTGTATAAAACATTGTAGTTTAAACGTTTAATTACTTGGTATACCCTTCAACAGACCCTAAAATGAGACAATTGTTTAAGACTTTAAAATTTTATCGATTGACCCGTCAGGATAAGACAGGAAAAGCCCAATGCATTGACAAATTTCCAAATTTGGACTCTTCTTGTATTTATGCATTTTGTGCCCAATGTATAAATTAATTGTCCAATTAAAAGACTATAGTTTAAAGTTCGTTTGAACAAATATGCCAAACATAATTCTTATCTTTTTCGTGCTTAATGAATAAAAAAAAAACCTCCACAACATCATAAAATATAGGAAATATGATTTTAATTTCCACATTCACGAAAAAGGGCCAAGATAGCCTGATGTTATTATTATATTATTTTTCTTTGTTGATAGCTTTTTCAATCTGATATTATGAATCTCCTCAATGATCTGCTATAGTATCCCAGGGCGAATTGTACAATGACTTCTAACAGAACATATTTTAGCCTAAATTTAAAATTGAGAAACCATTAATGAAAGCTTCTAAAAGACAACGTCAAACATAGACCTATATCTATTGTAATAATGTAAGCTGCCTAGACAAATGCCCGTAGAGTTCTTTTTTCTTAAACAAGGCGATGTAAAAGACAAGAAAAAGAAAATACAGTCTAAATATATCTTAAATGTTTTGACAGACGATTACCTCATTAATCATGCAAAAATTTAGTTCCGTGAAAATTAATTTTGAATTACAATGCCTATACAAGATATCCAAACTTTAAAAAAAAATCAATAAAAAATATAGCACATTCAGGCAAAAATTCTACCAAGCCTCTTTTATTCTTACAAAATATCATCAGAATAGCAAAACAGATTTTGAGAAGTGAGATCAATCAAATGTGAAGGTATAAAGAATTCCAAAGACGTTTGGAGGATTTAAAATCCCGCAGTTTTTTCCACAATCAATAGTATCAACAACTAGGACTTTTCCAATATTTTTGCAACCCTAAAATAGATTTACCGGACTTGGTGACTTCATAGATAACCACTTTTTAAATAGGAATGGATGTTGTTTTCCTCGTCATTTGTCATACGTACTCTTCCATTCTTAAAAAAACACACTTCTTAACAAATTCCAATCAAATGAGACTTTTTAAAAGATTCCAAGTATTTTCAATTTTTAGATTTAAAAAGGCGTTAGATGGGTATCCGGAAGAAAATAGACTTTAAACAGCTTATATAAATAGCGGGTTCAAATAAATGTTCTTTCTCGAGATTTCAGGGGTTTTGTACAAAATGGTATTCGAGAAGTGATATTTTATTTATTAAATACGCAGAAACCTTTAGAAAATTTGAAATCGCAAAATTTAATTTAAAAAAAAACCGGTAACATCATAAAGTACGAGTTTAATCAATTAATACAACAATTCCTCAAGACAAATAAAGAAATTAAGAATTTTTGACATCATAAACAGCTACCTTTTTAAAAATAGAGTAATCAACAGAATACTTTGCCATTGCCATTTGCTATATTATTTTGCTAAATAACATTCTGATTGTAAACACAAGTATTTCAAAGTTGATATTTAATACATTCTTGAGCTCCGATTTACAATATATCTGTGCAGCTTTTGGAGATCCTAGTAGCGTTTCTCAATCCATGTACGCCATACGACCAGGCGTAAGCTAAGTTCGGTCTAAATCAGAGATTTACGCCGAAAATTAAACAATGTTGCCTTACAGAAAAAGACATACTGAGGTCAAGACTAAACTTTCAAATTGGCTTGAATCTACGCATACTTATAAGTAGTCAAAAGATGTCTGCTCGAAAAAGTGGCGAGTGTTTTGATCATGATAAAGAAAAAAATAAAATATACGTATACCATAATACCTTTTCACATTAAAGAATGATTTGCGAACATTTGTGTAAAATAAAATTAAAGTAGATGATGTAGACGTATTTTTCGAAAAAAAAAAACGTGGGATGGTTGATATAAAGATGCACATTTTATGATTTCTAATTGTGAATCTTAGTAATAAATTAAGAAATATATCTTATTGAAAAGACGTGATATTTCTACGATTTCAGTAATTGTTAATTTCCTTCACTCATTAAGTGTAGTAATATAAAGCTTTATGTGAAATGACAATAAGAAAAATATTCAAAAGAAAAAGAATAAAAATTCGCCTTGCAGAACTGAAGCCAAATATACATCTATATTTTGCAATCGAATGCACGCATTCTTCTGTGACGATGCAAATGTTAATAGTTCTGTGTAATAATATTCATTTGACACTTTCAACAGTTTTAAGGTCTCATGTTTAGAGTTGTTTGGCTTTAACACGAAGAACATTGATTTTCTGTTGTTTTACTCTTACATTTTAGGTTTGACGCTGCCCCGTGAATGTGATATCGAACAAGGTGCTTCCCGATTAAGAAGCTATCACTCTACCGCTAAGCTACCACAATGGCCACTCTATGTAGAAAAGGCTACTATTAAAATGAGTCAAGAAGAATATTTGGAAAAAAATAGCAGAAGTCACGAACCGTAATATATTATTTCAGGTTTTATACTTTAAAAATGTTTAATTCATGAGGGGCAATATACTTTAAATGTAAGTAGACAAGACACCTTTTCCGTGTTAATCATTTAATAAAATAGGGCGCCATTCGGCATGTGTGGTGGATAGAAAAATTGACTGTTTCTGGAAAGAAAGTTTAAAAATGACAGGTTTTCGAAAGTATACCCAAAGTAAGTAGGTGTTGTCACAGCGAAGTTATCTTATTGTAGATCTTGTTTATGGTTAATATGGAATTTAAATGAACATTTAAATTTCAATACCGTTTAATATCACTGCATTTCATAATCACATGAAAATGAGTCCTTCATAAACATTTTAGATACAAGTTAAGAAAATAGCAATCATTATTCTTTTTAGTTGAACAATGAGAAAAGAGATCTTGAAATTAAATTTTGATTTTTTTTATGATCAAGTCTTCGTATTTGACGTAACTCGTGAACGTCTCATGTGACGAAAAAACAACGCTCATGTTTTTTTTATAGTAAAAAAAACCCTAATTTCATAATTGACTTTTCCGGAAACGCTGACTTTTACAGTTGACAGTTTATTTTGACATTTAAACCTGTATCATGTACGGAAGTTCAGTATTGATCATGGAAAAGAGAGACATTTCTAGTGGCCCTAGATACATGCAAAGGTTGGAAGTTGGGACTAGGGTGGTTGTCTCCAAGAGCAACGTATTTGTGCTTTGAAATAACCCGTAATTTTGATTGAATTAAAATGTTGAACTTCCGTACATTGTTCTAGTGTAAAAAATAAGCCGTCAACTGTAAAGTCAGCCATCTCGCAAATTTCCATTATGAGAATATGTATACGGACATCTCTCTCTCTCTCCACGGTTTAAAAATGTTTCAATTACTTTATTTTTTAAAATTAATTTATGTGCAATTTTGCTCAACAAAAATCAATATAAATATTGTATGTAATTATTAACATTGATGGGGAAAACAAGAGTCCATTAAGCAATCGGCGCTCTCTTACAACTATCTTCGCATACCAGCACTATACCAAGACCTGTAAAAATATAAAATGAAACCGAATGATTAAAGTAATCCATTATATGTTATTGTTTAAATAGAACTGTTATTTCGGCAAATATCACAAATATATATGATTTTATATTATTTAGAGAGAATTTATCACTGGTCCTTCTCTGGAATGAACAATCTGAAATTAGAAAATAAATTGTAAATTTTCTGTTAACTCAAATCATAATAAAAGTTATAAGTATTAGTGATCAATTATCGATATATAAAGAAATACAAAAATAATATTTTTTTTGTTCAAAATAATAGCATCTATGGATGTTCAAAAATAACCACATATTAGGAAACATAAAGCACATAAATACAAACTACATGTATACAACTCACATTCAAACGCTTTCATTCATTACGAAAATAAGACCAAGTAAAACACAAACAAGATGAAAAACAAAACTAATTACAAGTTTGACTGCATAATCATATAATTCTTTAATAAGTTATATTTTCCAACCATAAAATATTTAAGATAAAGTATAATCATTGTATTTAAGACATCATTCCTTATATCGCATAAAACAAAGCAAGGATAAACATTTATACTTACTTATAATAGGGCTGCAATGAAAATTAAACAGATTATCAAATAATACATCATAAGTACATTTGCAAATATATTCATCATAACTTCTTCTGTCTCAGTTCTGTATGGGGGCTATATAAAAGCATTAATTTGTTAGGTCGGAACACATAAGGCTGGTATATCATAATGAGTAAAACTTCTTCGTAAACTCTAGCAATTGATACATTCATATGCTTACATGCAAGCCACTGTCTGATTTATGAATTCCTGACATCTATATCCCGCATCACATGCTCCTTGTGAGTTCACAACAGCACATCCATCAGATGAGTTAGTTATTATAACTACAAAGAAACAGGAACAACATATACATTGTGATTTCTACAGGAGAAATAATTTACATTTAATTATGTTTAAGTTGTATACATGTATCAGATAGATTTGATTAATAGATGATTAACATTCAAAAGGTTTTTTTTAATCAAAACCTTTTCCATCGTATAAATGTAAATTGAAATAACTATGAAACTCATTACCCTCGCCGTATGTTGAATGTTGTATTTTAGCATTAGTAACGTTGACTATTTCTCCAGAGAAGTTGACAAATACCAGACCATTCACAAGCTTATACACTGTATCAACGACGAGTACTTTTGATGTTGGACTGTCTGGTATGACGAGGTCAAAGTCAACAATTAAGCTTCCCTTTCTTTTAAATAAACATATAATTTCTTATACAGTGGACCCTCATTTATCCGGACGCCTTGGTTCCCAGTCAATTTGTCCGGATATGTGAAGCATCCGGATATCTGAATCACCAGTTAAACAAGACAGAATAACATTTCAAAATTTCGTTCCGATGAAAAATCGTCCGGATACTGAAGCATCCGGATATCTGGCGTCCGGATATCTGAAGGTCCACTGTATTAATTATTCGGAATGAAAAAAAATATATAAATATAAATGTTTTTAAAGGGCATGGACATAGTTTCATCTAAAATTTCATTTTTTTTTTTTCATTTTTAGAAATATTTAACTAGGGTCTCTCTAATGATCATCAAAAAGTTGAACATTATTTGTCGAGATGAAAGACAGATGTAGAGCTCTAAACCTTTGTTATGTAAACAAGGTCCGTGTCATATTTTGTTTACATGGGTTAATATACTAATATGTATTATTTTAAAGTAGATGATTTCAATAAAAAAAAAAATTAAAACTATTCGACAGTTTCTACTGATTTACTGAAATTCAATTTGTTATAAATATTATATTTTCGACAGTTTCTACTGATTTACTGAAATTCAATTTGTTATAAATATCATATTTTCTATATGTAAACAAAAACAAGGCACGAGTCTTGTTTACAAATGAAGAACTTTAAGTTCTGTATCTCGTTTTTAATCAACAAATGATGTTCAAATTTTTGCAAATCATTGAATGATGCCTTAAGTAGGAATTGTAAACATTAAAATCGGTTTAAAAAATTCAGTTGAAACTGTGTCCATGCTCCTTTCATGCCAATACAATGATTAATCTACTCGATTTAAACATAATTTACCAATATAAATCTTTGTAGCATGAAATATCCCTTCTTAAGGAAGGTCCATACTTTTACGGATCCGGTTTTAATTTTACACACCAATATAAAATTCTGATTATCACTTGTCTATAGAAATAAAATCTTTTTGGATGATTGAAAATAATTTAGCAAGTATATATTTGTTTTTATAGTGTCACTGTACATACAAAGCATTTAATATACAGTGTGTTCCAAAACATATGTTACACTTTTAATCATCTATAACTTAATCAAACCAAAAGCTTTCACAAAGATATTTTGTCAACATCTAGTGTATTAGCATACATTTTATCTGACAAACTTTCGGGAAATTCTGTTCAAAAGTCAGGCAATTATTATATTCTAATGATGTCATCATATTTTTAATATGGAACCTTCATATGAACAGCTGGTAGAAATTGTAAACTTTACTTTAGGTCTAAATCTCCTACTTTAGTCATAAGAACTATGAGAAAACAAAATCATTTGATGAAAGTGCTCGACATAATACTAATTTACAGTTTTGTGATGGAGTATGAATTAAGTTAAAGGCACCATAAATGACACATGTAATTCGGGTATTAGAAGACTAGGAAGTGCTCCTACCAATAAGAACATTAGTTATAGAGTTATTACTGAAACTTTACAAAAATCCCTTAGACAGGCCTTACATTCATGAACAAGATAGCACCTTTGGTAAATCTAGTATTCATAAAATAATCTTTGATTTAAACTGATTTCTTCCAAGATATGTGTAATGCAGAATTTGAAAGAGACAGAAATTAGAAGTTGTTTAGAGTTTACGCATTGGATTTGAATTAGACCCGACTCCCAAAATTTAACAGATGCATGGTTTTCCGATGAAATCCACTTGTATTTTAACAATTTTGTTAAACAGAATCTTAAATTCTGTTGCTTGGCGAAACCCAATTTTAATGTGGGAAAACCTCTTAACTGGTATAATGTTACATTTAATGTTTGATAAAAAAAACTTCAGAAATCGTGTTCAAACAATTTTATTCAAAGGGACATTATTTGGAACATGTTGTAAAATGACATGTGTAATTCTATAGAAAAAATGTTGATGATTAATTAGGAAACTGTGACAAATGTATGCTTCACAAAAAAATTATAACAATTTCATTATATATTTAAAATTTCATTAATGTACCTTGGGGCATAAAATTTTTATAACGATTTAAAAGTGTAACATATGTTTTGGGACACCCTGTACATAATAGTCATTATTTTTGTAAATTTAAAATACTTCGCACTCTATCCATAGGATCTATTTGTCATTTAGTACATACACGGACACAGAATTCTTAATTGCCTTTATGGACAAAAAGCATTTTTATTTTATCTTTTTTTAGATAAACAAACTTGAGATCTATTTTAGTTTATCGATTTTAAGCCTATGTCATCTTTTTAAATTTTACTTTTTTTTTTGCAAAGAATGATTGAAAAAAAATTATTCCAAAAATAGAGGTGTACGTATTCAAAAGGCTGTTTTGTTGAATATATCTGGCCAAACCTAATATAGTACCAGTAAGTGTTTTTGTTAACCTTACATACTTCTAATACTAATAGTTCTGAAGAAAAATTGCATAAACAGTTTAGATACTGAGAATTATTATAAAAAAAAGATATTAGGAGATTTTTTTCTGACAGACGTGGACAGATTCAACATCAATTTGTTCATGTTTTCAGATAAAGATTTCAAATGTTAAAATTTGACATGCAAAAATATGTCTGTAATGGATATTTTATAATTAGTTAGTTTATGACTTTTTCAAGGTATCGTAAATTAAAAAAAATTATTAGTTTGACAGAAAATTTTGAAAGTACGGACCTACCTTTACCGAATTTTGTCAATTTAGAAATTTTCAGATGAAGGATATACTTTATAACAATGTATATCAGTTTGAGCATCCTCAATCTATATTTATTCTTATGCACAAATATGTAACTTACATTTGAAAGATCTCATACCGGTAAACATGATTTGATTATTTGATTATTTTTCCCTTGTCAGTTTACTTATAGCAATTATTTTTTCATTTACTTCACATGCATATATATCAGTACTCTTTGATCTAATGAACAATCTATTTACATCCGAGACGACATAATAAGATTACATAAGGGTCTTTTAACCTAAAGAACTGTTATCTAAAGTTATACAACTGTTATACAAATTTAAAAAAGAACCTTTTATTAAAACTTTTCGACACATTACTTCAATTTCTGACGAAATAAACAATTAATTTACAGCCAAGACGACCCAATATATTTAGATAAGGGCATTATAACTTAATAAAACTGTTATCCAAAGTAATCCACTTGCATACTTGACCTCGAAGAGAAGGTATTAAAATTATTTTAAATCATTTATGCATAAAAACACCCCTATTCTTAAGATCTTTAGACACATACCTTCAATGAATTTGTTTTTGACGAACTGCACTTTAACAAGATTGAATTTGTGATATCAATATATAATTTGAAGGGTGCGTCGATTTACCCAAAAGGACCCAAAAGGACCTAAAAGAACCCCAAAAGACCCAAAAGGAACCCAAAAGGACCCAAAAGGACTCAAAATGAATATATTATAATCTACTGAAAATTAATAAAAATTTTGAATTAAATTTTGAATATTACATTATAAGTTCACATAAGAGTTGGCAAAAATATAAATTTCTATTGTTGCAACTTTTCTTTAGGAAATGACATACGCCTTATATAGCACATCAAACACGAAATCTGGTCAGATAAGCTTGATTGTTTTATTTTAGCTGAAAATAACAAAGTATTAAATACCATATTTTTACTTCTATTTTACCATATCTTAATTACCATATGATATTTAATGGAGAAATAATATTTTTTTTTACTTGTTCTACGCACATAGTATCGCGGGTGGGTGGGGAGGTGACCCCCCCCCCCCCAAATACACAAAAAAATGTTTTATTTTTAATAAAATATGAAAGTGTTCATTGAACATCCATTTATTCTCTGTAATTCAAGTCCTTTTGGGTAGTTTTTAATTTCCTTTTGGGTCCTTTTGTGTCCTTTTGGGTAAATCGACGCACCGTAATTTGAATAATTTTGTTTCTGATATACATTTTGAAATAATTAAAAATCAACAAGCCAAGCCCAAAAATAAATATATTTTGTTGTATAAATTAATGCAGAAAAAAAATATTCGAGGATATTGCCGCAGACTTTTAGAGTACAGTAAAACTCGGTTAGTACGATAACGGATATTGCGAAGTTCTTTGATCCCAAACTTATAGATTTAACGAATTTCTTATACAGATAAAACTAATTACGGATATAGCGAAGTAATTTCATAGGTCCTAGTGACTGCGTTATAATTTAAAGGTTTTACTGTGTAGGCCTAATTCTAAATAACTATACTCTTGTGGGCTGGGGGTAAATACCATATCCTTTCATATATACACCTATTGAAAAAACAAATAAAAACATACTGCTGTACAAACATACCTCATGCTTTTTATTATGACTTTTGATCCAACGATTCTTTTACTGTAAACATCAGTTAACTATAAAATATAATAAGATGAATATTTGTTATAAATGATAATTTTCTATAAGTCGTTCAAAAAAAATTCCAAAGAGACAAAAATACTAACCGCTTCTTGAACTTTATTCTTTACTTTGATATAATCTTCTTCTATGCTCAGATTTGCTGTCGTTGTTACATCAAGATTCAAGACAAGCTTATATTTCATTAAATTTGATTCTTCAAAGAAAATATGTAAAATGGTCACAAAAATCCCCAAAAGAGAAACATATTTTAAAGGTGTCATTCAAAAACGTATTTGAGGTGGAAGTGATGATGATAGTACTCAAATACATTTCATTCGACTGATAGAATAAATTTAAATATATCAATTTTAATTTGAATTCTTAAATTTTTAAAAGTAAAAATCATGCCACTCCACCTACTTGTAGAGCAATCTGTACCATTGAATTCAACATCACACTGACATTCGTACTCATTGATCAAGTCAACACAGGTTCCATTGTTCTGACAAGGCAACGAAGCGCACTCATCTACATCTATACAATTAAATCATATGAATTTTCCCGTAAATCTCTATTCTGAGTATTAGCAAGATAGATTTCTTTGCACAATCTTATAATTTGTAGGGAAATATTAAAAGATGTTTTTTGGGCATTTTTGAGTAAAATATTACTCTTTATTCCAATAATCTTACTATTTGTACAGTTAGTGTCATTGAATCCCGCAGCACAGTTACATTGGTAATCATTGATGAGATCAAGGCATGTCCCATTGTTCTGACATGGATTTTCGGCACAGTCATCAATATCTGTAATATTTTGTTCTAATGAAAATGTACCTCTCTCTCAAAGAAAGGATATTACGTGTTCTGTTGTTGACACGTTCGAACAACAAAAAATATCACTATCATATTATCAAAAAAAGTTCTTATAAAACGAACAATTGACAGTGTTGTGATATCTTAAATGGGATCAATACTTTCATTTGTCTTCATTTCATCAATTTACTTACTCTCCTCACAGTTTGTTCCATTGAATCCTACAACACAACTGCAGTTGTAATCATTGATGAGGTCCACACATGTTCCATTGTTTTGACAAGGACTATCAGAACATTCATCAATATCTGTAATAATTTTTTTTTCTTACTTCAAGTATCTATTATAGATAGCGTATACAAGTATTAAATTTACAAAAAGACATCCACATACACAAGTTCACATTTAATTAAATACATGTGAAAGTTGTTTTAATATAGGATAGAAAAAGGAGGAGAAGAAGAAAGAGAGAGAGGGAGAGAGAAAAGAACATTAAAAAGAGAAATCAAAAACAAAAAATATATAGGGGGCATAGTGTTGTTTTTTTTTCTTTACATTAAGGGGCGTGTAAAGATTAAGATTTGTTTCTTGAAAAAAATCATAAATACATATGTATATGTTGACTTGTACAAATGAATCATATCATATCACAGATGCTCTGTCAGTTATTCTCATACTCTGTATATTTACATTGTTTCAAAAGTAAAAATTTCTCAATTAAGAATCTTTCCACAATAATTGTTTTTAAAATCATTATACTTAGAACAGAAGGATTTTTATATTTAGTCGAAAAAATATAATTCTTAGTTATCAGTGTCATCAAATTTTGCACTTTATGGTCATCCTTATTCTTATGTTTGCCAAATGATATTGTTGTTCTGTCAAAAATTCTGGCGCTAAAAGTGTAATATAAACTTTAGAAAAAAGCCAAGGGAATTTTAAGAGGAAGATCAAAATGACAAAAAATTAGCAATATCACATTATTGATTTTTACCATTTAGCTTTTCCTAATGAAATTCACCTGGCTTGGTATATTTTTCTTAAGTTTATATTACACTTTTAGCGCCAAGATAACATATTCTGAAATTTGTTTTCACCTGTAAACCTTTACTGAATGTGATTTGTCTATATTTGTTTTTTTTTTATTGAAATATTACTAATAGTTTCCAAGTTTTTTTCATATTCCAGTTCTTAGGAGAAAAAATTCTAAGAACCATCCACTTTTCTAAACTTGTGACATGATATTAAATCTTTTTCAAAGAAAAAAATTGTTTGTATCATCTGTCCTTAATCTACAGAAAAGATATTTCAGTAGTTATTGCAGATAATAATTAGTTTTGACTTTCATGAGTGTAAAGCACCGTTTTTAGTGAAGAATGTTA